CACGCCACACCTAACCAAGTCCAATTATTCCTTATTGGAAAGATCATTTGATATGCAACAGAGTTGTGTAAATTGCTTTTTTTTGTACCAATTCTCTAACGAGTTCTCGCAAATTAAAAATTGTGCAATTGCTCGTCAACGTTATAGATTAACAGTGCACAAAATAATTTTCACTTTCTGTGGCCAATAATGACACAGAAGTGATTATTAGAAGAAAAAAAATTCCGAATTGTCCAACTTGCTTTTAAATCGTACCAGATTTAATTTGCGCCTGTTTCGAGAAGCACCGCGACTAGAGATCTGCACACGTGCTATTACGCTTCGGTGAATCTTGTATTATTTCACGAATAAAACTGCCTTCAATTCAGCGATATCCATTGTATGAGATAGTATTGATCTACTCCTATACTTGCCATCGAGTTATTAATTGGATGATATTGGGTGATATCCAATAGGATTAATCCGCGAAATGTCTAAGGTCTAAATGATATTTAATGGTAAAAAAACTTGTGAAAACTCTATAGTTAAGATAAGCTGAAAAAATATTTTAGGTATTAATCAAACTCTACTTGTTGTGAAAAGTAAGCATAACTTTATCAAACAGAAATCAGCTTACTGTAGGATCTCACGAGGCGTATTTGATGTCTGTCAAAGTGGCAGGCAAAACGTCACTACGAATTCTTGTAGAAACAGAAAAGAGGCTGCGCGACAACCGGCCAAATGCTGGTAAGAGCTTCGAACTCCCGTCGGACCGTAAAACGACTACGCAAACTGTGACTAAACTTGGAAAACAATTCCGTCCGCGTCAGTCGCACCATTGGGATTTGTTTTACTAGAAATCTTAAATTGCTCGCCATTCCTTTGTGTTGCAAAGCCCGCAAAACCTTTTGCTCACGAAAAATGGTAAGAAGGCAATATTATATTTGCAAATTACAATCTTTTTTTGTTTACTTTTTGGTGTAACTATTCCTAATAATTTAATTTCGCTCTTTGTATCATATTCTCGTTATTTGTCTACATATATTGTTTCTTGTGCATTTTGCTGACAATCTGTGATATTTTCCTATGAGCATTTATCAAAATACATAGAACGAATATAAGAATTTATTTTAAAGATTTATTAGTCATTTCTGATGTATTCTTCGATGGCGATCAGTCACGACAAAAGTTTGCAAGTTTATGCCAGAGAGATTAGAGAGACAATAAATCATTTTCCTACTCTAGTGTGGTTCGAACGTCTTGTGTTCAAGAGTAATATCGATGTTCCCAGCGAAATGCATAATTCATGCTTTGAAAGCGCGGCGTTGAGAACGGATGCCGTGGGGCGACGACTCCATCCGATAAGCAGTCCGTTTATTGTCCACGTCAATTACGATTATATGCCGGGCTATTTCGCAAATTTCGCAAATTTATTCACGCGCATATTACGAGGTAATATCCATTTGAGATATTGTAATATGTATTGGTCTCACTTTTACGTACACCATTATTGGTTAGTTTTGACATACAACCATTACCTTTGAGGTATAAAATGAGCTGGAAAGTACGTATGTATTTCTAAATTGCAAATTGGAAAGGGATTAAAATGTTTTCGAGTCAGATTCAATCGAGTATCGTCATGAATACAAAAGAAAAGGAAACGTAGAACCGATACTTGAAATGTGCTCTCATTGTCAGTCAGGAAAAAGACTAGATCTTGGCAGATTATTTTGTCGACGCTCGTACATCCGCGCGCGCGTATACCTGCCGTTTGATCCTATATTCCCAATCTCTCATAAAGATTTTCGCGTACATTTTTCCATCAATCGGGATTAGATGGAAAAATTGGTTTCCCTATTTTGTCATCCGCGTAACGAATTATCGATTCGCTCACAAAGGCGAATAAATTTTCTGTCTAGTAAAAAATGTTCCACTTACATACACTTAAATTACAAAACAATTGCAAAAAAGTCTGTTTGGACGTACATTGAAAGATAGTTATTACGTACGTTTATGATACATCGCATATATCATACTTTTCAGCTCAACGTTTCTTGCAGCACATTCTACATAAAGGGAAGAATTTAATACCGATATCATTAGTAACTATACTCGTAATTGTTAATCTAATCAAACGACACCTTTTGTCTGGAGTAGTTTCTTAATAATAAAGAAAATAATAATAATAGTAGCAGAATCGTTCCAAGAGAAACAATGTACTTTAGTAGAGCTTCGAAATTAGCTAGAAAGGATATTAACTTTGTCTAGCTCAACATCTTGGAATGGAATATATGGAAATGAGAGATTAATCTTTTATTTTACAATAACGTTCTTGTGATATATACGCAAGTCTAATCGTTTTAATTTATCAGTGAATCATCAAGCATCAATACTTTTGCGTTATTCCGGAATCTACGTTCGCTGCTTTAACTTGAGCGTTCTTGAATCCCGTTAAGACTTTCGTTAAATCAATCTCTTGTTTTTCTTCGTTTGACAAGTTTATTAATAATGTCATAGCTTCTTCGCCTGTTTTGCGTAAAACATACAAAACGGTATTGTTTATGGCATCAGTAGTCAACGATCCACCTTTGAGTGACAATGAGTGAGAGCGAGATTTATCTGTTTACACGATAGCGAGAGTCGTCAGTATTTTTTGTAAAGGACAAATTTACATAAAAATAATTGTCGTGAATCGGTAAGCAAGCTTCAGTTTACTGAAACCTGTTATTAAAATGAACAAATGGGATCTCATCATTGAGTAATACGTTTTTATAACCTGTGAAATTATATTTTTCCAATTATTTAATCTATTAATAATTTAGGTACAATATATTTTGTTTTGGGATAGTGCTTAAATTTGTTTAGTAATATTTAATTCCTTCCGATGTGTACATAATATAATATTTGAGAAATTAGAGTGATACCTATAGCAGACTTAAGAAGATGACGCGGTGTTGCGGTTCGAGCATCTTTGCGAAACACGTTTCTAACATCGCAATTTATATGTGAAAAACGGATGACATTGGCACAAAAAGCACCAACAAATGCCTTATCGAACGAGCTCGTGATAATCGTCAAGTTATTCGAGAGGTAGCATTATCTGGTCTAGGATACGCTGGTAATGCGAATCGTGGGTAACAATCTGCCGTTTCGCGCCAACGAAATTCCGTAAAGTGTGATTCTTCTCAAAGCCGGCAGCTAGAGCAAGACTGAGAAAAGATATAATCTTCAAGCTCCGCATTTTTCTTGTATCTGACAATCTACAAGACAAATTCGCGCAGGAAGAAGAAGCAATAGACAAATTAAGAGAAAACTTGAGCATACTTAAAACTGCACAACTTTTGCAATGTTTTATTAAGTATTTTCAACGGTATCGTTTATACAATTGATTTTTTTCCAAACTTGGTTTCAAACTTTTAACGAAATATCAGTTGTAGAAACTTTATTTTGCGCATAATAACATAATTTTATTTAATTTAATTTTTTATTAAAATAGTTTTATTAATTTGTCCTATGGGAAAATTTAATTACAGATCCGTTTATTGCAAATTACAACATTCAATTTTTAATTAATTCGCGGATAGTTTGTTTTTACTTAAGAAAAGGTTAAAGCGTTTCAAGTTTAATTATGTTGAAAAAAAGAGAGAAATGTTTCGTATAATGGATTCTTGAAAATTCCATTCCGATAATCTCTTACTCGCGATATTGTGTGTTTATCATTTGTTTTGTTTGAAAATTATCACACAGATAATCATAGACGATATCCATTCAGGTATTGAGTCATTTCCTGACACTTGTCATCATTGTAAAAACATTTTTTAACGTGCTGTTAAACTATTAAACAATTATTAAAAATAATTGAACTGCTTGTTCTGTAAGAAATTATACAAGTAAATAGAGGTAGACAAGAGAAAAAGCAGATTAGGATTTGATATGGCTCACCATAGATTCTGTAATGAAACGAGTAGATAAGTACAATTATGGTTGGCATTTATGAAGAGAGATTGCAATGAAGCATAATTTATTGTATGTAATAGATATTTAGGCATTCATGTAACATGTTACATGACGTTGTCGCAACTGATCGTTGCTTTTAACTTGCGAGCTTGCGACTGAAAAACGACAGATTTTCTCTCGGCGAAAATTGATGAAATAGAATTCTCATAGTGAAATAATGGTCGATTTAGAGACAGTTCAGAATACGTTACATGTCCCAAGGATTCCAGTGATGAGTATGGCTCGCATAATTCAACTGTTCGGGAATGGATATCGGCAAATGTTGCGGAAAGCGGAATGGGAGATTAAATTCTCAATTTATACCCTTTAGGGCACTAACGTAGATAGAATTAACCCCTAAGGATTCGTATTAGTTGGCAATGATCCACAGATGATATCAACGTTTATATACAAACGATAAGTGCACAGGCAAAAGTAAATATAAACTATACATGCGGCATATGTAATGATAAAAAAAAATATATATAGTGGCTACTTTTCGAAACTTTAATTTTATTCCATTTAAGATTTTACACACATACACACATGAGATTATAAAGACATGATAATTACAAATTTATATTGAAACGTTTAACGTTATCGTGCCTTATTTTTCTAACATAATCATTTATTACACCTTCTAAGGCTCTAAGGCCTGGTTTCATCAATGTCGCTTGACTTTAATCTCATTGTTGGTTTAATGCTTTTTCTACTTCTAAAGGAACAGTTAGAAGAAGACGAGAAGAATGAATTGAACTAATTGTAAGATCAAAGTTAAGCGATGTTGGTGAAACCAGACATAATAACCGAACTTTATTGTTATCTGAACCATTATCTATGCTGTTACTTATAATTCGCCCTTTTCATGACGAAAATGATGCGCCTCATCCTAATATTCCATGGTTTCTTGCCTAATTTTACACTAGACACTAGTATATATCACAGCTCCTGATGCGGGAATTTTTAAGGTGCGAACATCTGTGATAACTTTCCTATTAAAAAAAAGATTTGAAACATGAGCACACATTCAAGATGAAGACATGATGGCATATAACGCGCTTCTTGTGCCTTTAGTATCATATTGCATAATATACATTGAATTTTCTAACACGTGTAATTAGCAAAGAAAAAATATGCTTACCCAATAAGATGATGAGCATTCGTAGTGGCATAATAAACGTTTAACTGATTCGATCCGTGAACGAGCGTTGATAAATCAACAGTTTCCTCTTTATTTGCAAAGTTTATCACTACGTAAACCGATTGCTCCCCATCAGCTCTTCTGTAATAACAAGCACATAATATTTGTTTATTAAGGTTCAACTTTAAGCGTTATCTCGCCGGAAAAATTAAACGTTAAAATTATACACACGCACTAATAAAATGCATTTTTCAATATTATTACTAAAGAATATTGAATGCTTTGGCTTTTGGTATTTTACGATATGTGTATATACATATATTTAATTTACCTGGCAAAAGCAAGAACGTCATTGCCCAATAATCTCGTGGTTAAAATTCCATGTTTAACCGCAGGCCATTCTCGTAGGGCAGAGATCGCTTTGTACAGAGCGAAATACGAGTTGTTCTGTTTCTTTTGCGCGGCCAAATTAAGTGTCACGTAATTTTTGTTAACTGGTAGCCACGTTTTTGGATTGGTGGAAAATCCTAAAATTATAAATAAACGAAATTTCTTATTAGATGCTAAAAACCGTTCAATGCTGGAAATGACAAATCCAAATTGACGGCGTTAGTTTCATCTCGAGTTTTGCCCCTACTTTCTTTTCGTAATCTCAAAATGTGACGTATAACCTGACAAAGGTGTTGATTCTTAATATGTGGGCCATAACACGAGACTGACATTGAAACGACGTCGCTTCGTTCAACATGAGCCTGTTTTTACAGTGTGACCAGTTACTAAAGAGAAATGGAATTTCTTGCTATTTATTAACAAATCAGCAGTTGATTTCTATTTTTGCAGTAGAAATCTATTCGTGCAACGTTATGGTGAAGCAATACATTAATGAAAATATTCAGATCAACGACAGGTATTGGCTTAAAATTTTGTAATCAGCTTAGTTTCAAGCTGCTTCTAGTGATTTTAGAAAAGGTGATTTTGAATAAACCCCGTACCAGCCGAAGTGGTGTTGTCCCATTGGAACGGTGTCCTTGCGGGATCCCGAGATGCTTTCTCGTAACCATCTTTGCCGGCATTGCAACCTTGCGGATCTTTGGTGTCTTCCCATGAGATCCACGTGTCCTCCATGCCGATTTCTTCGCCGTTATAAGTTACACCTACTCCCGGAAGCAATAGAATTATCGTAGTTACCGCTTCCGCTCGTTGCCGTCCATAACGAGTAACCAATCGCGATTTGTCATGATTCCCAGCCTGAGGGAAAAGATACAATTTAGCAAAACTATATCATCGCGGTAATACGTATAAATATTAACTAGTGTAACTATCTCATGTTATGAGACAGCACAGATTTTAAATATCATCCAGATTGTTAATGATGTAGTCATGTTTGCAAATTAAGTCTAGATGCAAACAGATACTGACCTTTTAAACGCATATCATTACATCGTTAACAATCTGGATGATATTTCAAATTTGCGCCTGTACTTAATTCCTGTATTGGCAACCCTTATTTATTTCTGCTGTCACGTACCAGTTAATATTTATACGTATTACCAGCACTTTGTTATCATTCGGTTATTTACTGCTCGTCCTCTTTCCAGTTTACATTGTTAAAAGTATTATTTCTTTCATCTTAGCCTCACTATGAGCCGTCACTACGATTTGGATTATGCTCAAACAAGTGCAGCGATATTTGAAAGACACGTCTCTCTCTCTCTCTCGACTTACCACCCAGTTAGCAGTTCCTTCCAAAATAGGCATGTTTATCATCCATCTGTCGATCACTCTCTTGAAATCAGTTGCTTTCGAGTCCTGATTCGTATCGGTAATAAAACCGAAATTAAAGGGGAAGTGTGCGCCGTACACATAATATTTCATCGTCATCGTCATGTTTGAGTAAGCCTCCATCATCAAAACTCTTTGATCCGAATATTCGTTTAGCACTTCTCGCCATTGTTTGACCATTTCGTAGGTACGTAACTGATCCTTGGTGTATATTTTATGCGTATAGCCGTAGTCGTTAGGATTTGGATTACCCGTGAGTGGTTCGTCCAAGAATCTGACATCCTCGCACAAATGTGGCACCGCGTCCACCCGAAAGCCGTCCACTCCCTTGTCGAGCCAAAATCTCAGGACATCCTAGAGAAACGATATACTTGAGTGAAGCATTCGATCCATATGTATCGTCAAATGAATGAAACCATCGTATAGAAAAAAGAGATTGATTGCTATGCGTGTCACGACATGGAATATTTATTATTATTATAACATAGGTGTGTTTTCATTAGTATAATTAACTCATACGATTGTAATTTTCTATCAGGTTGAATAAAGAAACGTCAAGAAAATGTAAATATACTATTACCAATTAACTAATAGCTTCGCTTACAAAGATATAATAATATTGTTTATTATAGAGAAAAAGTTACGTCTCAATTCCATTTTGGCGTTACAATTTATGAATGTGGCACGTTTCAGGGAAAATTTTGTGACATAAGGGATTTAAAAGAATTGAGGCTGCGATAAGAGGAAGCACCTTGCCGCTGTGGAACAATTTCGTGGAAAGAAAGAAATTGAATAAAACCTCGACATCTGTCGTGCACGAGCAACGGAATATACTGAGAAAGAATTGTTATTACGTACTATTTTAATGAAAAGACTAGAGAATGAAAGAGGTATATCTTTTTCGGTAATTAAATAATAAAACAAGCAAAGAATTTGGAATTTGGCCAAGTTTTTCAGGCCAGTTGAGAAATGATGGCAGATTGCGTCACGCGAGCTTACACCGCGCTATTCACTGCACGATAGTTTGTCCAATCCGGATTTTATTGCGTGTACCAGTGTACTTTGCAACTTTCGGTATTACGCTACGGCTGGATATTTCACCGTTTCACTGTTTCTCAAATTACGCGCTCAGGATTTGATCGTAGAATATGAATGCTTGCAAAACTTGAATATGCTATAATTCCACCGGTATATATATTGTATATTGTAAGGTAAAAAGAAGAAAAGCGGCGTTATAACTTGACCTTTAGCCTTTAATTAAGTACGATGTGCAAATAATTTGTTTCAAACTTGTTATTCCGGCTCGGCGACCTTTTGTTTGTTAAATTGATCGTAATTATCTCGCTTCACGCCCGCTGGTCATTTGTCACCGTACAGTCGGACGATCATTATCGATCATCATCTTCCTCGTTAAGTCGCATTAGTGCGCATTGGTCGCGCGATATTTTAAGTGTCGACGCCTTTGAAAAATTGGCAAATTGTACGTTCGCTTCCTGATTCATTCCGCGAGCATAATTTTACGCTCATCGCGTTCGCGCAACGAGCAACTAATTGCATCCGGTCCGCGCGCGACAACACGATCGGTGAAAACACTTGCCCGTCCATTTTACAGACCGTATATTTCAACAGACCTTGATTTATCGTGTGACTTAATTACTCTTGGTGTAAAAAAAACATGCGACGTTGCACGACGGTGAATACGTGGCGTGTATCGTACCGTCCATTCTTTTTTATCGCGGTCGCGCGTAATTTTTCTGAAACGCCAATAATTTCGAGCAAATTGCTGAGAGAGAAAGAAGAGAGGAAAGAGCGGGGGAAAAAACAGAACGCGATGTTTGCTTTTCGTTTCGCAACGCGACGAAGATCGGAAAATCTGTCGCGCGCACGGCAATGATGATGGAAAAAACCATGTCCTTGCACGATGTATACGGATCAGATTTATTTTCACCCCTAGTGACATCAACGACACGCTGTAAATCCGTCGCCCCTACGCAGTTTTGCTCTTGTGGTTACCCAAGACAACGAGATAACAAGATAATCCGATATCAGTTTTGATCCAAGTTCTCATCGAAAAAATTGGATATTTTAGTATCGATAATCTTTTTTTATCCAACAGCGATTGGATTTTGGTCAAAATTATTAAATATGAAACCCGAACTTGATATGGAAACCAATTTTAGTTTGTCAAGATAATTTGTCCATGGAACATTCATGTAACTGACAATAGTTATTTCGTGCGTACCTTCATTGCGCTTATTACGTTCTCGTTTTCATAGTTGAGATCGGGCTGCTCCGGTGCGAATTGATGCATATAATACGCTTGTCGTTCTTCGCGCCAGGTCCACGCTGATCCGCCGAATACACTCACCTAACGTGCAGATAATCATCGTATTCGGTAATGCATGTAAAATCACAGATATAAAACGTCACAAGTACACCAGGGATATTTGACAGTACGTTGCATTTATGTATAGTAGCATTGCTCAGTTCCAATTATTTCACTTTGCAAGTAAATGCGTCTACATATAATAGGCAATTGACCAAACACTTGGTGCGTGAAAACTTGTAAAACTTGTAATGACGCATTATTTGCATCTCTTTTAATTTGCTCGCAAATATTTCTACATTCGACTACTATGGGCTTAGCTCAGACATCCTCTAATGATAGTCTAATGTTAAGCATCCTACGGGATAGAGAATTCGTAATAAAAGCTGCCTTGAGATCCCGTTCAGAGGCACGAAAGAGGATACTTGAAATTTCAACATCGAGATCACTCGTGTATTCGGACTTGAATTAATTTACTGACTTTAACAACATCGCCCATTCAGCAAGTACAATTCTCGCGTCGTCAGTCATGTTACCGACTTGGTATACTTACCCAATTATTCGGCGCCGTGACTGTTCCATTCGGCAGCACCTTGCCTTTATGCCATACGTAATAGTCGGTATAAGGTTCTATGCTTTGCAAACTTTTTTTGAACCACTCGTGTTGGTCTGACGAGTGATTAGGAACGAAATCCATGATAATTTTCATCGACGCGTCGTGCGTGGCCTTTGTGAGCGCTTCAAAGTCCTCCATAGTACCATACGTCTTGTCGATGTTGACAAAATCGGAAATATCATAGCCAAAATCGACCATCGGGCTCGGATAAATCGGAGATAACCAGAAAGCATTGACATTCGACTCGGCGAGATGTTCCAATTTGCTCATGATACCTGTGATAAATAGATTGATGACCAAAATTTAATTTTGCATATAACTTTTGTGACCGACTTAAATTGCCAAGATAGTCAATATGAAAACTTTACAACGAATAATTGATCTGTTTCAAAATATTCAAAGGGGGGTAAAAGTAAATTTCCAAGATATCTATACACATTTTCGAAACATCTAAATACGATAATTTATTCACACTTATTGGAATATTTACAACGATATATTTGTAAAACATACCTTTAAGATCCCCGACACCATCACCATCACTATCCTTGAAGCTTCTAGGATAAATTTGATAAAGAGACATGGACTGCCACCATTCTGGATTAGATTCACTATATCCGAGATTGGATGATAGTAGTACGAGACAAAGCGTTATTATACCATTCATCCTTGTACCTTAAAAATAATTTGTACAAAATTACTTGTACAATAACGTAAATAATGTTACAAATTATTCTACAAATAAATAGCATCTCAATTTTCAAAAGTAGTAAGAAATAAAAGTTGCAAGTTGAACTTATTCCAAGTAAAATAAACTTAAAATAACTGCTCATTTTGAAAGTAATCAATGGCTTAATACAAAGATTAAAACAGAAAGATTTGAATTTAGAGCTATTGAATATCTTTAAACAAGTCACATGTCTATGAAATTTTTTAGTTTTTAAGATAAGTACTGTGTTGTCAATGTTATAATATCTGATAAAACTTTTGAAACTTGCATTGCAATATCACAAAACTATTTATTTAGAATGTTCATTGAAAGGTGTAAGCCTGAAAGCGGTTTGATTTAAAAATATATTTTCTCACCTATTCACAAGTATTATTTATGAACTCAAGTCGAACTGAAATTACAAACATGGCTACATGCATATATAACACCTAACGAACACGAAAACATGCCATGTATTATGTAAGTTATGAGACATCTGTATAAACAGTTGTTGCAATGTGATAATTTATTTCTTACTGAATAAATTATTAATCAAATTGTACCAAATTATTATGATGCATTTAATAATGTTTTTTTAATGAAATGTAGTGTTCTAATTCTTTAGGAATGAAATAAATTATACATACATGTTGATAATAAAATTTAACACTGATTTGTATCGTATACATGTATTTTAAAACACATCAAAATAACAACTACTCCAGTTTTGTTCCTGTACTATTATAAAGTTTGCGAAATGGTAGCTAGTAATTAAATTGTTTCAACAAATTTACGCACTTACCAACAGTTTGTCGTCACGAATGCCTACGTTCTCGAACACTTGCTATATGATCTACTGGTGTAGAGTAAACGAATGTTTCCTCTTTTATAGCCGTATTATGTAATTATGGTCAGGTACGGTTCCATACATGCAACTCGAGAAAAATTCTACGCGGACTACATTAATATACCTATGTTTAATCGTCAGATATATCTTTCTTATTGACAGAAATGTTTTTATCTAACTCGTTTAAGATAAAAAGTCATTAATGCTACACTGGAGCAGTGCCTCTCAAAACGACAGAATGCAAGAGTTACATGATTATAATTGCAAGTGGAATATTTAGAAATACACACGCGCGCGCGTGCAAGGTCTCCTACTTAAAATATATTAATATTTCACGAAACTTTTTCGAATCAGTTTAGTGGGATTGTTATTTATTAAAATCCATTTCTTTTCGAATACATTAAAGAATTTATCATCAAAATTTAAAACACAGATTTTCCGGTTATGTAAATTTAATTATTATTCTTGCGTATATCTATTTTTTAATAAAAAAGAGATAGGCATATTATTTTTTGTGTGTTTTTTTAGAAACACTGTTTTAGAAACACTGATGTAGAGATGTTTATATTTCCGATGAAATTAAAGAGATTTATTGATACTGGTGATGACGTCATACTAGTATCGATTTAATATCTACCAATAAATTAATATTACATCAGTGATTTTATCAATAAGGTACATTGTAGATTTATTTTAAATGAAAACAATTCCTTTATATGGATTTAATCATATTTACAATTAAACTAAGATTAATAGATCTGTGTGTGCGTTAATAAATACACTTGTTTTCGATACACATTATTTTCATAAATTCTATGCGGTTTTATGCGATTAAACTCGTTTGCCAAAATAATATTTCGAAATATTATAAGAGATAATATCAAAGTTTATGAGATTAGATTTTATGATGAAAATAATAGTTATTGACAAGTTTTATATAGAACAATACCTACATTGATTGGTATAGACGTGCAATGATATGACAATGTAATTAAAAAATGGATTAAAAATTAATTTCGACAATATCACCTCTGCTCAACAAAAATTTAATTAACGATAATATTTAAAAGAAGATAACGCTTTGTATAGGCGCGATTATTGACTATATTATGTCATGCATGATGTAATATTGAAAAACTTAATGAACAGAAGATTAAAAACAACATATTTATATTAAAGATTAATATTCAATTTGAAATTCTCTCTCCCGTATTATTGAAATGCGTATAATATCTGAATAGTTAAATATTTATTTCTATCTTTTCGCTCAGCTAGTCTACACTACTATTTCTATGAAAACATGATACTTTTTAATTAGTAGGTATTTATATCTACAACTTTATTTTCCTAAAACGACATTACTTTATTTAGGCATAAATAAAAACTAATATATCTTAAATTTATATTTTATTAGTTTTATTATATCTTACAAAATAAGCACATGTTACAGGCTGTGGAGGCTAATAATTTAATAATATAAAAACGTCATTAAAATTCGTTATATCTATGATATAATACATTCAAATCAAACGTTTCGATCTGCCTTAAGATCATCCTCGGTAATGTTTAAATAATTCCGCATATATACTTTGATTGTTCAACGCATGTTCGCAAGAGATATGTAATTTTTTCAAAAATTGGCCTGCTAAATAAGATGTTGCTTTTGTTGGCATGCCTGATGTTATTGAATCTGAAGGTAGTCAGCAAAATATACAAATAAAAAGAATTCTGTTAATTAATTCTATTTTTTTAAGACTTAAGTAAATCCACACACACCCACACACAGGTTACAAAGAAATGTTCGAGTAACTGATATCGAACTGATATCAAAGTGACACAAAGTGGCAATACAGCAAATAGCCATATTTATCTACTGTTGTCATTGACATAGTAAGGCGATATTTTTAAATCATCGTGTTTTCTGCAGGGAATTGAAGATAGAAATGTAACTCTCAGAGAGAGAGAGAGAAAGATTATCTCAATCAAATTTATGATTGGTAAACATTTTATGTTTTAATATGATATAGATGATATTTATGAATTGTTGTACTTTGTTATGACTTTTATTAATTACAATACTAGTTGTCTTTATTATAGCTAATTTTATTTTTCTATCTAAAAGTGCGATTAATCTGCAAGTGGCAGATAAAATAGAGAACGTTTCCTCTTTGTCGCTACGCGAATATGTAGTATAGTAAACACTTTCTATCAAAAATTCAATCTTGTGACCTAAAAACATTAGCGCGATTACGCAATGCTTTATATGTATAGCTCCTGAAAAATGTTCTCAAAGTTTATTTAGTTAAATATTGGTAAATAGGTAAAAAATGTACCCCGCGTTGTCTTATATATTATAATATGTGCGTTTAAAAAAGGGAGAGAATAATATAATTTTTTTCCCCTGGGATTACATTGAATTCAAAATATGAATACGCATGACAGCATGTATACGCATGAGAAATTTTATTTAATCGAAAAGATATTACGTACAAATTCGCGATTAACGACATACGTGATGATTATTTATTCCGACAGTCTAACAGAAAATGACGTTAAGAGTTTGCATTATTCAGAGATGCAAATACGCATGTCGAGCATAAACTCGTTCTCGGAGGCAAGACTGAATTTCACATATGACCATAGCCAGTGCCTGCTATGCTGTAGACAAGCACAAAACGCATAATCGTCTGCATACGTCTGGTTTGCATCCAGCATGTATACAGCGGCTGCGATTGGAAATCAGATTTCCTGAATGTCGCTATATTTAGTGCAGTGGTATAATCTCTACATCGCTCGCAGTGCGGCGAGCGACGAAAGGAATGGAAACGAGACAATAAAACACGGGCAGAAGCCGGTGAACGAATCGTATTCCAGTTAAAGTCTTTGCCAAACATAAAATCTAGGGGTATATTGCGTCAGAAAGCTTTCGACAATCAATAAACCAGGTGTGCGCATTCTTATCGGGTTGATACTTGTTACAGAATCGTCGTTTCGTTTTTTCTAAAACTACAACTCACGTGGTTTTGCTCTTTTCAAAATCTTTTATTTTTATTCTTTGACAAAGCGAAAAGCAAATCTCAAGTTTTCGAGAGTTTTTGTATTGAGCTTTGCTCAATTCCGATTCCGATCACGTATCGACCGTACTTTGCGCGAAATAAACTCTTCAGGAGATTTAATATCATAAAATCGATAAGAGAGAACCGACAATCTGACAACTCAAAAATTTTTACTGGAGTTTATACGATAATCAAAGTTATAACTACAGAGTAATGTTTTAGATCGATACGAGCTTACGATTTTTCGATAATAACAAAGAATTACCATCTTCAGTTTCTTTTAATATTAATGATAATCTAAATTAATTAAGATGTTAATATGCTGTCAATGTCAAACATGATATTTTAAGTAGCAACTTGATATTTCGGACATGTGAACTAACTTGTTAATAGCGATTGGTTACGATTTATCTTTTTTTCAATAAAATTTCAGTCTTGAATATTTTCTGCGGACAATAGATATTGGAGGGGGATTTCCTGCCTTATCTCATTCGCCTTATTAATTGAATTAAGCTTCTGCAGCGACCGATAAGCGCGTTATCGTACAGTATCGGCTATTATCAATTTTTTAATGGAATTAGGCGCACAGTTCAGTATTCACACTTTTATAATGTTATAATAGCTTGCCATTTTTAATCTTTACGACCTGGCTTTAATAAAGGTTTTAATAGGGTGAATTTATAAATATGGAGAATATTTTTCGAAAAATTTCTTATACAGGGTCAAGAAGGGTGACCTTAAATCAGCGTCATGTTGCTCTTTGAGCATCTTCCTGATGCTCTTTTTAACGTATGAAAATCGAATCGGTAGAAAAGAGAGATCTTTTCATCTTTCCTGTCGCGCAAATAAGTTATATCGGAATAAAATAGGCTTAGACAGAGACATTCACCAACATCAACACCAACGTCAACAGCAAATCATGTTGATGTTGATGAATGACAAAGTTTTACATTTTTATCTCCAACGCAAAACTGCATATCCCATCGTTGAAATATCTTTTATGCTTACAAATATGTAACTTTAATATACCAGCACACTTATACTATAATAAAAAGTTTACTTATTGTCAAACTTGGTGACAGATTGTAAATAACTCTGGGGGTTAATAAAAAACAATTTAAGTGTATAAAAATAATCAAGTATTGTCGGATTTGATATTGAGGTGAAAACAATTGATACATATCCCGAATTACATTTAAACGACACATTAAGAGAAAATAACTGCAATATTGTTATTGTTTAAATAGTTGGATATATAACTTACCGCATATTTGACGCATTTATTGACGTTGCCTCTTTTATTACGTGCGCTGTATTTGCCTCACAAATAATTACATGTCACGTATCATTAAACAATTCTAGTGACTGGTATTTTGTAGATTGTTACCATTTTCACCCTTTACATATGTACGTACGAGTATACTTTCATAAACGAAATTACATGATGTATACAACAGCGCAATAATTATCATCCATTAAGTTAATGAAAAAGTTGATGCGTTATGTGTCGGGATTAAAATCTTGCTTTTTTTACTATACATTTTCTGTACTTGGGGTCTGTTCTAAAATATATTTGTCACGAGAATTCTCAATTAAAGTGTTTTCTTCCGGTTATTTATTTTACGATTTTACAAGAGACGGAGTTCTTATTGTACCGAAGATGGGTAATCTGTTCAATATGTTAGTACTGATTTTGTTCTACCAATAGGTATATAAACTATTATATCATATCGAAGGAAATTATTTAAATCACAGACACATTCAAGACTGAAATTTTATTGAAAACACATGTGCTGACAAATTAGAATAGCTCAAAAAATCGGAACGTGATATATTATTGGCCGGTACTGTAAGTATATTTAACATAATTATATATATCTACAGGTACTACAAAATATAAGATAATCTACGAGTTATTTATCGATCTTAATACGTATATGTATATATCCCGTTTCTCTCGCCATTAGTGAGACGCCTCGTTGACGCCAGAAAGACGTAGGTACTCGTCACTTTGAGCCAATAACAAGATAACAAGGAACTTGTCGAGTTAATTTTCCAACTATTATTTCTGTCTGCCTCTCTTTACGACATGAGTACTCTATACGTCATTAATTACACATGTATGCTCAAGAGAAAGCTGATCAAAACGTAAACTTTGTCTAATGGGGACATGAATAGGATCTCATTCAAGATTTGATTATCACAACATTGAATTACAGTACTAATTTCTAGATATATGTGTCAAAATGCAAAATTATTAAGTAGTTATATTTTGCAACAATTGCAATGTAGGAATTTTATCAGAACTCATCCTATCTGGTTTTATTGATCGTCAGTGTTGAGTATAATAGGACTTTGTCGTGTAAGTGCATTAATTACAAATAAGACGATAAAAAGAAAGGGGAAGAGAGAGAGAGAGAGAGAGAGAGAGAGAGAGCAGAAGAAGGTTCTTGGCCACATAATTCGCAACACTCAGGTTTGTTGGCCGAAGAACGAAGCCGTATCAATCCGTACACTTTTAATCATATTTATTGAGAAGCCGACATTTTTAATAAATGGGTAGTTTGCGAACAACGATTATGGCGCTATAGACAAATAACAATATTATACCAACAATAATATCTAATTTCTCTTATTACACAAATCAAAATTTCTAATTATTTTGACCAATAAATTTGATGGTCTCAACTTATATCGGATGCTTACGTGGACGATATATTATTAGTCTATAGCGCGCGCGCGCCACACACCATTAAGTTGTAATAATTAATTGCGAAAATATTCATTAGATCGTCTCTTTCTGATACGACACTCAATAGTAAGACAGCAATGCATAACGAGTGATGAGGATGTATATTCAATGACATCTCACGAACCGTGTCTGTGTCAAACATTTCTCAACAGTTTATTTTATGATATTCATCTTTCGCATATTACAACAGCGGCCGAGTCTTAATAATTTCATGGATATCTAAATTAGTTTTCGCCGAGTCTGTTTGACTCGCGGTAAACTCACAAATATAATAGCACATTCGTAAGTAACTTGATGTTGGTGAAACACATTTCAGCTAACAATGATACTATGGTTTTATCAGATATGCAACCAATCGAGAAATAAGTGAGAGCCTACTTTTAGTAAAAATAAAAATAGAGGTGGATACGAATTGTACTCTGTATGCTAAATACATTTCATCATTGCTTTGCAGTTTCATGTATTATTCAAGTAAAATGCAATAATTCACGTATGTTGGCGTCTGTTTGCTTATCCGCTTACAGTGAATAATTTCATAACCCACCATCGCACCGTGTCACATCCGTACACTCGGCATTTGAAGGTGTTTTTGAAAAGAAAAGAGGAGAGGGAGTGAGTGTAAAAGCGGATTTTTGCAAATTTTCCAAAAATATGCATCGTACAGCTCATTGAAAAAGCGGAATGGTAATTCCGAGTTTTTACGCGTAAATTTTCATCTTTTTATTACATGTACATCTGCATTTTGCGCAACGTATTCTTGTCGAGATAAAATTATTTTTACAGTTATATATATAACGATTCGTGAAAGAATTATTCTTCCATTTACAAAAATGATATATGTATAAGCTAAATAAAAGTAGGATGATTAAATCAAGTATTTATTGATATATATAAAATATCTATTGTCAACAATTTTACACAAGTCACTATTATTTCAATAACTATTTATTATATTAACAGGTAATATTTTAACATTAATTGTCACAAACACCATATTAAACAATTTTGCCTTCAGATATTCTCTTATACATATTTTCTAACTTTTGTAGTACTTTGTAGATATAAATTTCTTCTCGCTCCGTTTCTTTTATAAAAGACAATATACTCACATTAGTAACGTGCACGGTTAGAGCATTCAATAACTCGTAGTTACAAAATCACCACTGATACAAACATAAAAAATTTATACCGAGTACTCTTAGCAGACGCTCTTACCAGCCTTTAACCTAATTTTTTTTATCATTCAACTCAAAAATTATTTGTCTTGCGAGCAAAAAAATTGTAAAATATCTATCGGGTAGATGTTATGTGCAGAATAGAGGCGCGAATAACAAGTCATATACATGTATTTTACAGAACATGGGGCGTATAACTGTTTTGATATAAAATTTTACATTTTTTTCACTCATTTAATTGTTTTGAAATTATAAAAGAAGAGTATTCGAATGAAATATTGAAAAACAACCTTTATTTTTGGTCAAAATGCCTTTTCATCTATTGCCACGTGTCATCAAATGTGAAGAGAGCACATTTTTTCCAGAACCGATATTTAATCGAAACTATGTACACAGTTACTCTATTTCTGTTTTGAAAATTATTTCTAACAAATGTTTCAAATGCCTTATCTAAGAGCTGTAACACAGTAAATAATTGAATTATAGTGCAATGACAAGGAATAAATTTGTTTTCAAACATAATTATATGAATCATGTTTGGATTCAGATTCATGACAGGTTTATCGTATGACAGAAATCAAAACACATAATATTATTTTAATCAGCTCTACGTTTCTTTTCCACTCATTGTCTAATTATAAACCATGTCACGTATCCACCGTCAAATGTCTCTCTTATCGTATTAATATTTGAATAACTAAAATCCCTAAAAAATTTAATAACGGGATTTATCTTTGTATTTTTGTTGATACTTTAATGCGAACTCTCATATTCATTTTCTGCTTTCGTTGGATCTCTTGTGGTAAACGTAATTCTCAACGCTTAGAAACACTTCAACTTGTGATTAGCATAATGGAATCATTGGTAACTCGTATGCGATCGATTGGCTATGAGACTAATTCGCGAGCTATATGTGTAGACAGGTACTACCGATCGATACACTGCTCTGCCGCCGCGGTTTTACTGCAGTGATATGACCTTACACTTTGTAACATTACATTCGTCAACTTAGTTATGGTAATATGCATTTGATTCATACAAGTTTTGCGACATTACATGCGACATGACGAACGTGTTAAAGCATTGTAGATATTGTACCTCGAAAGAACCGGGACATGAAATTTCTTTCACATTTGTGTAAAACTTGTATAATAAAGCACAAGTAAAATAATGAAGAGTTTATGTATATGTATATGTATGTTTCCATTCAGCGCATACTATATGATTAGGATCATAAAGCCACGTGTAAAATCTGAAATGATTTAACGATCGTTTATTTGACATTGCAGTTGCATCCCCGCCGGATAGACGAGTCACGAGAGACGATATCGGGGTGGCCTCAGCCGGTGTAGCGGTGAATAATGCGGCTGCTACCGGCTGCAGCAGTGCAAGCGGCGCGGCATCCTCGAGATCGCGCAATCCTTCCTCCTCCCCCGGTCGGAACGGCCAACTCTCCAGTAAGTTTTGGAGGTATTACCCCCCTCCCCCCGAGATACGCTTCGATGGCTGGGCTTTATCTACTTGCACGCTCACACCAACCTATCTACCCTGCGCGTTTACTTTTTCTTCAGTTTCCATTTTGAGAAAAAGTAATTTGCAAGGTATTTGTAAATAACCCAATTCTAGTATTATGTGTGTTCATCGACTCTTTTCTCTCTTCAAAATGATCCAAGGCGTGATTTTATGATACGTCGGATAATATCTTTATCATTCAATCCAACTAATAGAAGCGGTTGCGTTCCATTGTGTTTCAGAACAAGGCACTTTGACGATAGTACGCCGAAGTTCCGGCAAAAGCAAAAGCATCAGCGGTGGGAATTTCGAAAGTTCTCCACCACCGCATAATCCCGATACTTCGTATTTGTCGAGTCAATCCGTCGATCTCGAAGAGATCCTCGATAATGTCGATCTAACGACGGATTCGCTTCCTGCCGTTGACACACCCGATGCATGCGACAAAGCTGCCCTCAGGTATTATATCACGATATGGGTATATTGATAGCTTTGCAAATATGATATTTTAGATCTACGTAAAAGCTTACCCAAAGTGACATAGGCAATCCGCTTTTGATCGCGAGTTGATAATAAGAGATAACGCACGTCATATTAAGTAATTTATGTCTATATGTATAACGACGCGTGTGGCAGAGAATCGTAATCGTAAGTGATTATCATCTATAAATCTAATAAACAATTTAATGAGAATGAAAATGATTTACCAGCTAAATGTTACACATCTAATTCTTATACCAATTGATTATGATTTTTGTTAGATAAATTTGCCATGTCGAAGAAAATATTTATTTCTTTAATCCTTGGAGGATTAAATAGACTAGTATTTGCAATCTCGACTTGTCGCGCAATTATCGGAAAGCGATTGGAAGCGAATGTCTAGTTTAGAAGGCACACGTTATTGGCGCCGAGGGAAGGACTCCGAGATACCTCTCTTTTGCAGATTGAGGTGTTTATTGAGGCAGCTACAACATGGGGAGATATCCGCCGAATTACTTCAACGAAACTTGCACTACGCAGCTCGCGTACTCGAGGCTGTTTTCATCGACGAGACCAAGTAAGTATCTTTTCGTACGGTAATTCCAAGCCTCTCGCGAACCAGTGGAAAGCAACAGTCGCGTTTATACTAATCATTGCCTGCAACTATTTCAAATACTGCTGCTTTTTTGCCGAAATTTGCAGGCACTACCAGCATCCTAATGGTCTCAACGTTCTAAACCTCGCGGTTAATAACGACTCCCTTTTGTCGCTACCGTAATAATCGAATATCTGACAAGGACGAGATTAATTCAAAAGATATCCTCGTGTAATTTGTTAATGCGGTAGCACTTGTGTATCGATCAGACGGATGTGTATGTAGCCGTTTTGCGCTTTACATCGTCAGTAAATGCTGATTGATTCAATTGTTTCACGAGGCATGGCGTTCGCAGCGGAGTTGGCTATTATCGGTTAATTATCTATTTCATTGATATGGAGTCGCGCAGTGTGACCTTTAACACGACACTTTCCTCGCCACTTGCTAGGTGCAACTTAAATTTCGTTGAAAACGAGAGCTTTCCGCATTTTCGGTTTTCGCGATGCGTCGTGCCGGATCAAGCTCACAACCCCTGTTCAATTACCGGACGATCAAAGATTCAGCTGGCCGTGAAGGACCATTTCCCATATGCGCGCAAGCGAGATCGATCGTACGAGCGATCAACGATTCGCGATGTTTCCTCTAACTCTGATAAATGGCACGTAACGTTACAACGATCCATCAGGATTCTTCCTCGTCAGGATCATCCCCGTGAATTCGCCCGAGAGGAATCGACATCGACGCCTCTTTAGCTCAGTGGTAGAGACCAGGGGTCGTGAGCTCAATCCTCACACAGGAGGCACAAGTTTTTCCTTTTAGCACGATTCTCCATGTTATTACAGCTCGTTTTATGCGTACGGGGACTGATTATCCACTAAACTCACATCTCAACGACTAAAGTCATACGATTTTCATTGCTTGTAAAAAAGTCCCTCTGCAGTATGAGTCATTCGCGCATACAACGAGATATATGTATCTCCGTGCGATACATTGATTGCGTGACAATCGCACGCAACTCTGACCACTCTTGCACAATATACATCTGCCCCGAAGATTATCAACGAGTCTTCCAATTGAAGATATCGACGCTTGAAGCTACACGCTTGACATCTTTTCTAATTTTTTGCTCACGCAATTGCGCCCGACAACGGACATGCGATTAGCTCGCTTGCATATCCTACAACGTTGGTTTTTCAGCAATGACACTATAGCAGCCGTAAAGCACGACGCATCGGGTATATCCTGTTTTCTTCTATTCTAGATTTATTGCGACATATACTAGATTGATCGCAACATGAAAAGGATCGTCGTTGAGAGTGCAGCAGTGCGATATTCAAATCACGTGGTATTAGAGAAAGAAAAGAGACGAAGAAAGTCAAAAGAATAGAAAAATTGTAATCTTGTATTATTCTAATCTTTTTTACACATGAACTAACGAGCACTACCGCAGGGTGAGTTCAGGCGGGAATGAGTGCGCTCGGTCATCACGTAGGGGGGCGGGCCTGACGTCTTCATCCCTAGGGGGCGGCTTGGACTCAGACGGACCACAGGGCCACGCGGTGGTAACCCAGAAACGGAAGCTTCGCACCCCCATATGGGCAAGGTTGCGAAACATTCACATTTCCAACCCTCTTTACGACTCCCACGTTCGTAACACGCGAGATCTTCCCCACCGACTCTCCTTCGTTTTTTACTTGCCCTATCTGTCCATTTTCCCGCAGTCCGCAGCCGTCCGACGCTCTTTGTCGTCCTCTTTCTCCAACGATAGACTCATACTCGCGTTTTAACAAGCGAGATTCTCTCTTTCTCTCTCCCCCCCCCCTCTCTCGAAAACGATCGTTGGTAATCGCGGCGGTGAGCGACAATCATGAATTTCGTCCATGTAATAATATTAACATCTTATAATTATTCTATAATATTTTAAATACTAATTCATTAAACAACTAAAAGAGAGTTCTATTGTTATTACCAGTGATATTCTTCTACATAATTAACATTATTGGTAAATGTTGTTGAATATCAAACTGCTATAGTTGATGTTGAGTATAGAACAAAGATTTTTTAACTTGAGGAGACCAACAATTTATTAAAATAGAATGAAGGAAAATGTCAACTAGTTACAATTTTAATTCCTTGATATATGGCAATTTGCAAGTAAATTGGAAAACTTAGAAAATATACCAGAGAAAAACTAAAGCGAAAATTGGATATATATATATTATTATTCTGTAATAAAATATCTTCCAATTGTTATCTCCAATATTTTATTTTACATGACATTTAATGTTTTATATAACATTTTATTATTTGCTCTTTATCGACCGTTTTTCAGTATTCAGTCAACCGCTAAATGTCAATCTGCCAATATTCATCAACGGCTTGAATTTTGTGCGCGCGATTGACAACTAATCAGTATCGTGGAAAAGCGACAGTGATATTTTCCAGTTTTATTTCGGGCCATGTCTTTTATAAATCGAATAAAAAATATGTATAATTAAAATGGTTATAATTAAGGCTAGGCTTTCTTTACGTTAAACAAATTATTCCAAGTAACATAAAACAACATAAATGTTATATCTTATTTTTATTTTTACATCATGTTTACGTCATTTCTACGTCATTTCTTCTTTTTTCGTGAGGAATTCAAGATGTCGCTCTCCTCTTTATAAGAATATATCACTTATAGACCAAAAAGTGTACAACGTTTCTCGATGTTCTAATCCGTAGTTCTTTCGAACGTCTCTAGATTAGTCGATGTGCACAAAACTGAAACGCTAAAATAGCTATGCGTTCTTTGTTTAATAAGCTTACTTAAGTAGTTGAGAAACTCAAAGTTACTATTCTATATCTGATAGACTCATGATACAATTATAGCATGTTTCTATAAATCGTTGCGAGTAGACGAGTTCTCTTAGAGAATAATTATTAAAGGTCGCAGACATTCATCACTTGTTTAGCATCCTGCATTTGTATAAAAATATTCGTTGAGATGCCATACTTTGCGATACATAAATTGATTAGATAATCGGATGTGATAATCGGGACAAAAAATCCTCTGGTCATAGTCACGGAATCACATTCGTCATTTTATTTCTTATTATTTTTGCATATCTAGTGCGCGATATTGAGAGGATAAATCGATGCGAGGAATGATCAACTACGAGGATTAAACGACACTTTCGAGCACAGCATGGAAACATTACTCTTGCCTGTCTGTCTGTCTACCCCTCCCCTCCCTCCCTCCCTCCCTCCCCCTCTCTCTCTCTCTCTCTCTTTCTCGCTCCTTATCTCTAGTTTACGTCTCTTCTAGATTCCTTCTAGGTGTAACCTGCTCAATTTGTCGGACGTATCTGCCTGCCGTGCAACATGCATCGTTCTCACGATAATCGACCGTTTTCTACTGGCACTATTCTTGCCCGAGAGAAGTGCATGTATGTACGTAGGACATTTATCACCGGGCGGTCCTCAAGCATCCCCTACAAATCTATCGCGCTGCGCCGTGGATGTGTATGGGTGTACATGCGATTGTGCGTATGGGAATGATTACGAAAAGGTGGCTACTCTTGGAAATAATCTTCAGCTAGGGCGTACCAGAGAGCGAGCGAAAAAAGAAGCAATATTTTCAAATCATCCTACACTGCAGGCATGCAGGGATGTTTGCTTGAATGTAGCAAAAGTCGCTTAGATCAATGTGAGACCTTTTAATGTTATATATGTTTTCCTTCGTATTTCACATTATAGAGATGCTGAGCGTGTGGAGTCAACCGCCATATGTCGTCCGGGTGTACGCCGTAGGTTCGTTTCTCCCAAAGTTTCCATTTTTGAACGCGAATCGCAAAAATGCATACGAGACCACTTTTTTTGCACTTTGCACTTTGAGCTTGGCGCCATCGTGGTCTTTTTGCATGAAAAATCGCTAGCGCACACTCCAACTCTTGCTACATACGAGTATATGTATACGACGACGCTTTCTTCGTATACTATATAGGGTGTTGCGGGATAAACTAGGACCATTATTTTTATGACCAATTAAATCATGGAATTAATTAACATTGAAATTTTTTTAATCTTAATGAATTAAGTATCTAAAACTTTATCAAGAGAAACTTGGTATATTTAAGGTTTAAATATATTTAGGTATAATTTTTATGTGTATTTAAAATGACTAATGTTATGCAAAGCAGTGTGTGTATATATTACGCGAAGAAATCCACTCCAAAGTATGAGGTGTGTGCGTGTGTTTACAGTGGTTCCGAGACACTTGACATATACGCAATTTTTGGCAGCGTATGATGCGCATGCGAACACATGTAGCTTCTTTGCGTATAACTAAATCTATTAGTGTTTATTCTGAAATTCCAACTCTATTATTTATCATAATCGATCGCCCATGTATGAAACATTTTGCACAAGCGTAATTGTTGTTTTCATCTCTTAACTAATTGTTAGAACTGTTAGAACTGTTGTTGTCATTAGTGATATTAATTAATCCAAATTCTCGCACCTGTTCACTGGCAATGATTTCCGCGTGTTTAGTGTTGTGTGTAATTTGCACTCAAGATCAATGTAAGTACGTGAAAAATACACTTTGAAACGAAATCGCGATATCGTAGCGTTATTGTTTGCGCCGTTATTACGGTCGTATTAATACCTAGTTGGCACTGGGGAATACAAGAAGGGGTGTCAAAATTGTTTGGCAAGATGTTTGACTGAGCTGATATAGAGCTTCGCTCAAGTCTGCTAAATCACTGCTGCGATCTGTGCATCGAATCAGGTTTGAGATCAAAGAGGCACGCTCGAAAGATCACAGCGGTTTATTTAAACTTTAGTTTTTATCATCGAATCCTCATTCCCATCTCATTCATTTTTTCAGTGGTATATTTCCCTCCATTTCGCATACTCATATAACTTCCTCACTGAAATGATGTAATTAGTACGACTTTAGTTAAATATATCTAATTTAATTAGAGAGCGTGTCTTATCGTTAGTGAGTCAGTCAATACTACATACATAGAATGGAATAGAATCTTGATACGTTTAGAAAATTATAATATGTTCGGTATAGGGCGGCTTATGGATGGAAGCTAAAGAATAATAAACGTGTGTGCTAAAAGATTTGCTCTTAAAATATCTTTTCGCGTAGATCCAGACATTTTGTGTATATGTGACACACTGTTGTTTGTGGAATATAATATCAATTATATTCCGAGTGTAATCGCAACTTTTTGCAATTAATTTTTGTCACTCGCGAGCGATGAAAAAGTATTTTACCGCATACGCAATTGATTAGACGATGACCTTTTAAACAAATAACAACAGCGCTCCTGGCAATTTGTAAATTGACAATTTTCATGACGCACTTGCTTCCTGTTGAAGTACAGATTTGAAACGAGTTAGTATAGATAAATTTACGAGAACACCAAGTGTCTCGACTTGATATTCGATCGTGCGTAGCGAAGGTAGGCACTTGTTTTGTTCGTCTCGAATGTATCAGTCGCTGACCTATAACGCTGTCTTGGACGATTTTCTCCTCTAGGCGACTGGCGGATGAAGATGACGAGCTGTCAGAGGTGCAGCCAGATGCGGTACCACCGGAAGTGCGCGAATGGCTAGCATCGACTTTCACTAGGCAGCTCGCCACCACTAGGCGGAAAGCCGATGAGAAACCGAAATTTCGCTCGGTCGCCCACGCCATCAGGGCAGGCATATTCGTCGATCGGATCTATAGGAGGGTCACGAATACCGCTCTCATGCAATTTCCGCCCGAAGTCGTCAAAGTACTTAAGGTAATCCGCCGCCGGCGAGCCGCGGTTCGAGAGTACTCGTATCTTTATGTGGCGATTAATTCTTAACGATAAATATATCACGGCATAAAGATATGAACGTTGAATTATTCGAGTCGAGGAAAAGAGAGAATGTTTAATCAATCAAAGATCGGTCCAATTATTATTAAAATTAAGGTCGAGAGTTGTTGAAATTTTAAATATTCACATTGCTTCCTTTACCGTTCAAGACTTTAGACGATTGGTCGTTCGATGTATTTTCCTTGCATGAGGCCACTCTGGGTACGCCAGTGAAATACCTGGGCTATGACCTCCTCAATCGATATGGTATGATTCACAAGTTTAAAGTACCTCCCGCAGTTTTGGAGTGCTTTCTCGGAAGAGTCGAGGAGGGTTATTGCAGGCATCGAAACCCATACCACAACAATCTCCACGCTGCCGATGTTGCACAAACGATGCATTACATTCTGTGTCAAACAGGTTTGATGGTAAGTCTTTTCACATATATTATTTTCCATTATACTATTACATGTATAGAGGACAATCAAAAGATTTCTTCATTTTTCAGTGATTAAGCATAACGAGCTTATAATTAATTATTTATTTGCATTAAAGTTTCGTCAAGCCTCTCATTATTATTACCATGTACGTGATTACGATATATAACTATGCAACGCAATTAACAAAATAGTATATATCTCTCTCTGTGTATCGAGCAAAATCAACATAATTTTGTTTAGCAATTTCTCTTTGTCTGAAAAAATATAAATCACGTGAATAGCTTCAGGCAGATATTACTCGTTGCAGAATTGGTTGACCGATCTCGAGATTTTCGCCACTCTCGTGGCAGCGATTATTCATGATTACGAGCATACTGGGACCACAAACAATTTCCACGTAATGTCCGGTAGTGATACAGCGCTCCTATATAATGACCGAGCCGTGCTAGAAAATCATCACATCTCAGCCAGCTTTCGGTACGTGCAAATTCCATCTTGCTTCTGCTGTTTCAGGCAGCAGTTTGTAATTTATATACATTCATATTTTACATCATTTTATTTTTAATTTTCTTCATTTTTAAACATCTTTGTCCTTTTCAAAACATTTTTTAATAATTGCGTTTCTTGAATAAAAAAATAATATAATTAGAATTGACTGCTTTTTTACTGTAGATACAGTTGCACGAGTAGGATCAATACTTAATATAATATTATAATATGCCAGTGTTCTTTACTGCAATATATTGTCTATTTTAGAATACTAAAAGAAGATGATTGTAATATACTGCAGAATTTGTCAAGAGAGGAATTTCGAGAATTTCGATCACTCGTCATTGACATGGTTCTTGCTACCGATATGAGTTTTCACTTTCAACAGCTAAAAAATATGAAAAATTTACTAAGTTTGGCAGAGCCAAGCGTAGATAAGAGCAAAGCTGTTAGCTTGGTCCTCCATTGTTGCGATATTTCGCATCCCGCTAAAAGATGGGATCTTCACCACAGGTAAAGCTTTTTATTCGGAATACTCATTTAACTGTGACGAAACATTGTAAAAAATTGTAAAACTGTAGTAAAAATTTCTCTTCTATTGATGTGCGTTTTTTTCTAATAAAAACAGAAGCAAAACAATATGTTGTAATAATAAATAGATGCAGACGTGTGTAATTCTCTCAATCCATAGATGGACGATGCAACTTCTTGAGGAATTCTTCAGACAAGGTGATAAAGAGAGAGAGCTTGGACTGCCATTTTCTCCTCTATGCGACCGCAATAATACGTTGGTAGCTGAATCTCAAATAGGATTCATAGAATTCATTGTCGAGCCTAGCATGCAAGTATGCAGTGACATGCTGGAAACCGTTCTCGCACCGCTCAATGTCAAGGATACCGCGGACGAACCCAGCAATGGTAAGACTCTTTTTAACACATGTTACTTTTAAATTAAATTACTGTATCTTTCGAAAACTTTTCTTTCCATATACATACTATATTGATTTAATTGATTCAATTAACTGACATATTTAACAATGATGTTTTAGGTTCAGGAGAAGAAAATAGGAGATCTAAAATTGGCAAACCTTGGATCCCATGTCTCGCAGAAAATAAAAAAATCTGGAAAGAACATGCAGTACGAGGTATGTTATTATCACTGAAATTTAGATATTATTTAATTACCTGTAAACAGAGTAAACAGAGTAAAATATTTTTTAACATAATTATGAAATTTTTTTGTTTACATCTTGCCATTAGCCGCAGCCTCTTGAGCTAATAAAATCACTTTCATAAGGTTAATGAATTGCATGAAATAAACGTTTTATCTGCAGATGCAGAAGCCAAAGCACAAAAGGAACAAGAACAAAAGACTAGCAGCAATCGCGAGGACGGTGGGGGAACGCAAGCTCCAGCCGAAGAATGAAAGATATACCGGACAATTATATTTTTCAAAAGTCTCTGTAATTTTAGATTACGCGCAAGTTCGTGATCGCATTGGATGGCATCTATCATAAGTTTACGGACTTGTTATTACGCTTACGAATGATACGCCAAGCGTCATTCGGTAGTACAAATAGACATACGGACATTAGATGAGTGGAAATGACGATCTATATACAAAAATATGCATACATCAAATATGTTGAATAATTTGTTTAGATTGACACCAAAGACCCAAATTATGTACAGTCTTGGCCAAAAATATTTGCCACCTATGTGAAACCTCAATAACTTTAAATTGTTTTACATTCAGGTCAAATAAGCAATACTAGTGGGTGACTCATTTTTTTATAACGATTTATGGTGTATCACACAGTACTATGAGGGCATTTTTGCCATTTGTCTTTTATTTCTTCTTCCTCAAAAAGTAATTGTATTTTCAAACATTTAGCTAAATTCGCACGTTTTAAGTTGGAGATTATTGAGCAATGTGCATACTTGGAGCGTCCGCAGTAAACCAAACACAAGCAAAATTCAAATTTTATGATGTGATACTTTGTTTAGGTTTAGGTTATTCAGTTTAACGTGTAGATACGTAAGAAACCAGTTGGGTAGAGTCAAAAGAAATTACATTTCTAAGAATGGAAGGGGTGGCGAATACTTTTGCCCAAGGCTGTATTTGTCCTGCTATTTCTATATAATATTTCTAGAATATTTCTTAACCAATTGTTTTCTACTATTCCATATGTAATACTATTTGATCTCATTATATTATAGTTACAATGCTCCTCGAAATAGTCACCGTCAATGTACAATGATTAGACGTCATTTCCTGTTAATTTCAAAGACTCCTTAAGATCCATTTTTGTGAAAGTTTCGAATTTGTAAGAAAAATATTTACGATCGATGATTTGTCATCTTAAAATTCCTCTAAATTATTTATGTTATTAATTATTTATATTAAATTATTTAAATGAATAATTACATGTATAGTATACACATGTATATATATATAATATACAATAGAAGAATTGATAAAAGAACAACATGAATTGTAGATCGTGAATTATATTACGATCGTTCGATATAAAGAATGAATCATTTGTACTCTTTTATTAATTTAAATTAAACGGGAGAAAAATTGGTGTAACACAGCTGGATATAAAATTACGAGTATATATTGTGGAAGGCATACATTTCGCAGAAGGAAAGGGCCATCCCTAAATACAATGTACGCATCGAGTGACAAAAGAGAAACTTATATTTGCTGATATCAATAAGTTTAAGAATCCTCGTTAGCAGTTGTTTATTTCAAGGTGTGTTTCTGTCAACGCTACATATGTAAATGTTATTTAATCCATCGAGCAAAGTCTATCGGCTTTTTGATATCAAATGAAATAATTAAATCATATATTTTCAGAAGAACAATATATATTTATAACCAATATTTTTTCTCAAAACTTGAAAAAATCTAACTGACGCAAATCACACAATATAAAATGTCTTCTTTTACTTGGATATATTTTTGAAACAATATTATAATTATCGACGGTGATTAGACTTGTATTTATTGGCTAAGAATCTCAGAAACACAACACAGCAGGTTTTTTGTTACTATTTATTGACACGTGTCGCACAAGAATACGAATATTGCACAAGATATAATATTTTTCTTACAATCTTTTTCATTTATCTTTATTAACGAAAAAGAGATTCTTTGCGAATAATCGGGACCTGCGATTTTCAATGCGATCTTTGCAAATGTAGAGTGTAAAATATTACTTGTGACGGGTTTGGGTGAAAACTTGGAAACGTCGATCTTTTTCGTTCGCGTTTATTAAAAGTCGCAGCAAAAAGATCTATGGGAACGAAGTATCCTTGTACATACCGTTTGTTAAATGTGTATTCGTATACACGTACTGGTTCAGCTTTAATGTGTGTGTATGTAATGTATAAAGAGAAACAAATAACAGGATACAGCTAATGTTTAATCAACGTATGTTTAATACATACTGCGTATTTCATGTATATGTATATATACAAAAGAAAGAGAAAGAAAACGTTATTTTGTTCAACTCCTCGCGATATCGCGGCTATAGAATATACATGTTAGCGCGTGTTAGCAACGCACACGTCCGTATTCAAGATTGTAATTAAACATATCCATAAACGAATGCGCGTTACAAAACGCATAAATTCTTGATATAATGACAAATAGTTATCATTACATCAATGCATCATTATCATCCAATGTCATACGCGTAAAGGAATCGGACACTTCGGTATAATAAAAGATTTACAATTTTTTCTCTTTTCTACTTTTTATCGCGTATAGAAAACATTGCCGCTACTGCAGACCTTTATTTTATATACGATTTATAGTTGCACATAAATTTATTATTTTTATTATATGTTCGCGCACTTACTTAGTACTTTGTTACTTGTGATTGATGGTGTCATGTTAGTTATATCATAAGAAGAAATAGTAATTTTACTTCTGCAGAGCTTTTTTATATTGTGGTTAAAAGAATATCTAAATTGTTTTTATTTGTTTATTAAATTTATAATAAATGAAAAATGAAAGTAACTACCGAAATTGAATCCGATTCTCTGTACGTGGCAATAATTTGAGGTAAGGCTCTATGGAAAAATCGCTATATATACATATGTGTGTGTGTGTGTGTGTTTTGATATGTGCACGTATGCTCGCGCGCCGCACACACACACACCTATATATATATACATATTCATATATATATACATATATATTGTGTAAAATAGATCATAGAGCTAGCAGATTTTTCGAGTGGAACGTTTTATCGTCACAGAGATATTATATACATATATCGCGATATATAGATGTATAGGATAATCTCACTATTTCGAGATTGAACATATCCGTCCTGTATTTATTTAATTTCCGTCATTCAATCGCGCGCGTGCGCATGAATTCGCGTTACTGCTATGGAACAAATGTTTCGTGCTATTAATATAATAGATAAAGTTTACCTTCTCCTTATCGTCATCTTGTGACGTAGCCTGACTAAATCAACTAAATCAAAAACTTAGCAACATAGAAAGTTGGGAAAAAACCCGAGCAAATTCCAAAAAATTTACTACTATGCTCAATTAAGTTTTACTTTTCATATTTAATTCTTTTAACACATATATTCGGATATTTTAAAAAAAAACTTGAGATATTTTTACGTAAAGTTTAAATAAGCAAAATTTGTTTTTCTTCAAATGTTTGCTTTATTTCAAGGATACGAACTGTAAAGTTAGCTTACAATTAGTTGTTTCGTAAGAGTCAGACGTTAATCAATGGCTGTGCGCCGGATGTGTATGTACAATTGAATTGTTTTTCTGCAGCGGACGAGGGGCCAAAACGCGTGATAGAATTAAAGTACATTAAAACCACGATTGCATAAGAGAAATTATTGACCAGTCACGTAAATAAAATCGATCATAACATAAAGATGTATGATATAAACTTATTCTCAAGATATGAAAGACGAAATGCATTGTTGAACCTTTAACTTGACAGATCGTAGGCTAAATCTATTCTACGGACGCACACGCATTTATTTATTCACGTGGCTCGGTCATTTCATTGTCTAGAAGTCTCTTTAAATTAACATTGGCCTTTCCTTATGACGCAATATGCGCGATAATACAAGATAATTAAAATCAAGAATGGAGAGAACAAGAAAGAGAGAGAGAGAGAGAGAGAATGAATTCAGTGATGCTGATATTTAACAGTATCGCAAGCACGTTTACGCTTTGAGACAAAGCACCTTCCAAAATATGTTTGGTATAAACGAATGATTAGTTAATTGAGTAGTTCGACGAGACGAGCGACAATTTCGCGATATCGCTCAGGATGACAAAGGCGTTTCAACAATACTCGACCAATACTACTAACTCTTAAGATAAAATACACACACACACAAATTTCTTTTTTTCTTAAGTCTCTCTTTACTTCTCTCGAATTAGCAGTCCGTATTACTATTCGTAATCTCCTTAGTCTCGATTAATTGTAAATCTCAGTAGACGATGCGTTCGCGCCATTATACATATACTAATCGTTTCTAAATGTGTCACCGCGGATTACAATTGTACATTCTCGATTTATTTTTCAGCACAATTTAAACAATCTGTACATAACCGGCAACTTCAGCACCATGTCCATTCAATGTGATGTAATGAAATGTAAACGTATAACGAGAGATATATTAATATATTACAGAAAGATGCATCACGTGTATGATTATAATAGCATTGTACTCTGCGTAACTCTACAGAGAAATAAAAATACTCGATTACTTAAAGAATGTCGATTTAATCCGAGTAATGAATATATACATATTTTTATTTTAATGATAATCTCTTAATCATTTATCAAGTATTTGGTACGTAGATGAAGCGGAATAATTTTATTCTCGACAAGTAATCCATAACGCAAACAACTTTTCAAGTATAGCTGTACAGAAGCTAAGGCTGTAATTAATCACTATTAAAATTGCAATAAACGTATTAACTTGCTTCCTTTTCAATTATGCCTGCGTTTCGATATTCACTACCAACACGTTATGTACACTGTACATTTTCAGTTATCTTATTTTTATTATTTATCTCCTTATTTCAAGAGTATAATGAAAAATCAAAATTTCCCTCCACTTGATTTATTTTATAAGGACATATGACTGCTAAACACTCGATGATACGTATTACCTATTACTTTGTCGTGGACCGTTTAACATTCTCTGAAGTAAATGCAGCTTCATGTATCGTCAGTATAACTTCCGCTATCTGAAATAGATGAATTACGGCTGAGTGCGTACTTGATATGGCATTCAAGCAACAGTTACTTAGTTCGTGCTCAGACAGTCTCAATCTTAAAATAACATTCGAAAAATATTCTATACGTAATATACGAGTTATAAAACAAACCATACATTTTTCTTGCACATTTCTACTCAAGTATTTGTAATTGCAAATATACAAAAGTATAAAAAGTATATAACATCTTTTTAATAATTACCTGTACGTAGGGTGGCGTACTCAGAATATAGACTACTGCGTCTGCAACATCCTTGTCTTCCAGGACTCCAAGAAGGCCGTTCGAGATAGCGTCAGATAAGCCGTAGCTTTCCGTTAACATAGGTGTTCTCACCGCACCAGGACTAACATTCTGTTTACCAAGATATCGTTCAACTTGATCAAATCATTATCGTTATTATTGCAAATCTGACTGTTTTACAACATTGAAAAGAGAGATCTTTATCATTAAGGTATTGTTTAAATGGATTATATTATAACCAAGTGTAAATTAGAATTACCAGCGAAATAAATCTACCTTGTTATATTTTTCAGCTTGTTAATAATTGCTTTCGCGATTAATAAGTTTAGTATAAAAAGTTAGCGTACCGTGACTTTTACGTCGATATTTGCATTTATTAGTTTATTGCATAAACTCGCTGCCATACCAGTGATAGCAAATTTACTGGCGCAATATAAACTCACTGGTTGAGTGATTTGTTGAGCATTATGTCCGGCTATACTGTGAATAAAGTAAAAGTATAACGGTTAGCAGTACCACAAGATAGACTCTTACTTGCGAATTGAAGAATTATATGGAGGATTGTCGATTGCAATAAGACTGTAATTAAATTTTTAAAAAAGTATACTGTATAGTCTATATTGCATGTTTATTATATCGAATCACAGTTTAAATCTTTTTGTTCAGCAAAATATTAAGTAATCGTAACACAGTAAAAAATTTTTATATTTCCAAGTATCGTACATTCTTATAATAAACTAATTTAATAACTTTGAATCTTGCATCATAGATGAGAGAAAGAGAAAATGCAAGCACATGTACGTGTGCTGTACATATAATATATAATATTATATTCACAATCACGTACAGTGTGGTTTGTATAAAATTTATTAGTAAATTAGAATGACAAAAAGTTTTGATCACAGTAGTCGGTGTACGAATGCTTTTTCTAAACTCTAATATTAATTTCTTAACTGTGTTTAGTTCCACATCTGATACTTACCTACTAATATTAATGATATGACCCGACGCTCTTCGCTTTTTGACGGACTGCACTAATTCCCGCGAACAAATCGCTGATGCAATCACATTCACGTCCATTATTTCGCGATATGTCTCTGTTGATCCCTCTTTCAACACAAAGCAACAAATAACTCTTTCATAACGTGAATTTTTTATCTTTGTATAAGAAAAATGTCATAAGAGAGATGCTTTAATCCTATATGCAGGTACTTATGTCTAGCAGACATAAAGCAGACCCCGTACATTTTGTTGTTGACAAATTTTTACATTGCATTGAAAAAAAGAATGAAAAAATGAAAGAAGATGACGATTTACCTATAATCGTTTCGGTCGAAACCACTCCAGCATTGTTGATCATTACGTCAGTACCACCAAATTTTTCCTCCGCCCATTTGAACACCTTACGGATATTCTCTTCTTTTCGGACGTCGCATTGCATTGTATACACTTCAGTGTTAAACTCATGTTTGATACTCTCCGCTAATTCCTCTAGCTTTTCCAGTCTTCTCGCTACAGCGATCACTTTCATTCCATTTTTTGCGAGTGCTCTCGTGATCTGCGCACCTATTCCAGCGCTTGCTCCAGTGATTATCGCGACTTTTCCTATCCAACGATCCATCACGGCGAAAATCTTTTGCGTAACTGTCGACTTAACTGCTCTAGTCCCCTTTAGACGCTTACCCTCACCAATGCTTCTTCACCAATCAAGCTCATTCGTCTCAATGTAGGAGACCTGCCGGTTAAGGCATATCAATCAAATTTGTCGGAAGAGAGAGACAGAGAGAGATTGACTCTTTAAAGATTGATAACGCGTATGCTACAATTTAAATACTTATTCGGTTAAGGAAATCTGCCTATGCAGATTAGATTATTATTTTCATCTTTGACCTCTTTTAATTAAGCTTACAACGACTCTGTTTGATCGTTGTTCTCAATTATGATACATTGAAGAAGAGATCATTTATTGTTCTATTAAATTAATATACATTGTTCATATATTGTTGTACAGGAAATTATAATATTGATGTTATGTAACTGTTAGTTACTGGGATATATTGAATGATTTTAATGTAACATATAATAAGCACGATAAAGTGCAGAGTTACATATTTCATCCAGTAATTAATTTGATCTGATTCCGAGTATGGCCATCGCCTTTCGCCTGTATGCAAACTTAAACAGGATCAATGGGATAATACGAGGGATACGGATCGCTTGGAGGAGACGTCCTTTTACCCAAGGATTAGCAAACTCGTTAGCTCGGTCAACTACGGTCTGCTCCTATCAATGTATTATAGTGTGTCATTTTGCGTGGCAGAAATATATTTCGCCTTATATGTATATAAACACGTTATGATCAAACATGTTCTTCAGTTCAACACAAGTTTAGTAAATGTCGAAATGTAAATGTGAATATAATGACAAAATTTTTATCGCATACAAGTTATTAATCAAAGAACGTTGCAAACATGAAATAAATCTAATAATACTATAATATTCTATAACACATCTTCTTTATATCCCAATTTACTTCAGGCTTTACCTGAATTATCACTGGGAAACAATCATTCAACGTATATTGTACGTGTATGTATACCAAATGTGACAACTTGTAATTTCAGATCCATCAAGAAAAATGTACGATAAAATAATGGAATATTCGTTTCCTTCGATACCCTGTAAATATTACTTTTCACAACATATACGCAAACTCTCTTGAATGCGAACAAAAATGAGACGATGATAAATGTGGGTTATCAGCAAAATTCCGAATCAAGAAGCAGAACGACGGAGGTCGCGGTCAAAACGACCAACAGTACCGATGATAGTCGTTGGGAAGAAAAGATTTTGAAAATTGCTGATGGTGCTGCCCTGAAGTGTCCTTCGTAGTGAGTTTCCACTTCCAACTCGTTTTCGCCCCACTTCCCGCTCTTGTTACCTATGGCTATATATATCAGGGGCGCATCTATCTTATAGCATGGGTGAGAAATATTAAGCTCGCGAATACTACGACCCTATCTCTTTCTTAAGTATCTCTTTCTAATGTAACAAGGTCGAGGAAGAAACACGTTATAAGGGAATTGGATCAGATTTATATATTATTACGTTCGAGTAAAGAAAACATTTCATTACAACTTGTACAACACACAATTACACTAATAGAATAAGAATATTTAAGCAATAAAAAGACTTGATATAAATTTAACAATATATGTTATATACTTTATTGGCACCGATCAATCTCGTTGTTTGCTTTTCATATTTTCTTTGAAAAATCCGATTTTAACACCAACGAAAAAGCAGAAATAAGCATAAATTGAGTATCAACATAATTTCCGAGAAAAGATCCACCCAATCGTATCAATTTCTTTCTCCATTAAATATGAAGAAGGCGAAGAGGATAGAAGTTGAGATAAATCTATGTTAATATTGGAATAATCAGTTTTGTAAAATGGTATTGCGCGATTAAAAGTAGGACAAACAGAAGTGAAAAGCCCTTTTATGTATCTACATAATTAATTGAAGGATAACTTGTCAAAATAAATCGCTATCTAACTAAGAGAGTAGTTATTACACTTGTTACACTTGTCATTTCGTGAAAATTTATTGAGCAATTTTCCTTCTTTTTGCAAGTCAACAAAAGACGCAATAAAGCTTTTGCGTATAAAGAGGTCTCCCGACGCGAGGTAATTATGATAAAAAAAAGCACAGGACTGTGTTTCCGCAAAAAACTTGCACGAGTTTGCATGTCCGTTTAATCGCTCATGACACGATGACGTTCGTTTATGCCAAGCGAAAGCATGAAATGGAATGCGTTTAGCTGTTCAATCATTTAATGTGTTTGTTGATACATTTACTATATCATTGCGCGAGATATAAATCTGTTTTAATTAAATTTATATCTAGTCTATGTAATCGATCACAGCTATCTTTGCTGTGACCTACGCTACAATATCTAAAGTTTTTTTTAGACCGAAAAAGATTCTTGTAAATATTGATAAAAGTTTTCAATGATTAACAATCATTAACTCGCCCTTTGTAATATTTATAGCTTACAAGGGCTGCGAGATAGCTAGAGAAAATGGGAAAAGTAATTAGTGCCAGCAAAACAGTGCGAGTCATTCGACTGCGACGAGCGACAGTGGTATAATGAGAATAAGAAATGGGTGACTCTCTCTCTCTCGTGGAGATTACAAGATTCAGATAGGAAACGATAGCGCGGAGATTTCTGTTCACGGACGAGGGATTAAAGATCTACGAGTGGTTCGCTTGTGGGATTAAAGTTAAATTATATACGGACAAGCACGAATTATGAAAAACCGCGAGTTGAATTGAGCCACAAAGTATACGTCTGATAAATAGATAGAGGGAGAGTTTTTATGTGCAAACTTTGTTATAGATATAGATTATAACATAGATACGTATATTATATATGAATAAAGTACAATAGCAAACTAGAAAATGATGAATTAAGAGCAATCAAAGATATCTTTCACCGTATGTACTGCTTTTACTTTGCCCTAAGTCGTATTATCATACTGCTAGTTGAGATTGTTGTCCGAGACACGGTACGATTTATGAAAGGGAAAATACCCTCACAAGTTCCGGAGAGAAACCTGAGAAACGCGATACTATGCCATCTTAGTGCAACAAGTTCTGCCTGTTTTCGCAAGTTTCGATATATGATATCATCTACTTTTCGCTTTACGTGCAAATTTGCAAGTTTCAATACAAAAGAGGATACTTGGTATTATAGATGAGAAACGCATGTGTCTGTGATCCAACTTGATGATTAGATCTCCAATGTACCTTAGACATTAATTATACATTATGCCCTACACATATGGTAATGGGTATACTTGTATAAATATATTGTACAATAATACTTATGATAGATAAAATGACTTATAATCAACCTTGTATTAAAATTCTATAAAATATCATTAAATTTATGCGAATACAATTATATTTTTAATTATTCATTGAATTAAAAATTGTTGTTATTTTAAATATGATCAAATTGTTTGAAACATTATTTGTAGGAAGAATATATTTAACAAGTGACTCAAAGAATCTACCGTTAAAATTTAAGTTGGGCTTTTGAAATATTTTCTACACATAGCGAGACGAAATGAATTTCGCGTATCGGGAAACGCGTCAGGATGTGTCGCGCATCCTGTTTGAAGTTGCCGGAAATTGCGAGTTCCGCTAGCAGATCTAGTCCGATCGAAGACACCTTCGATGACGGAAAGTCGCGATTGTCTCAGCTAGTCTACATCCATTTTTTACAAGCTTCCGATTTTGAATTGATGACGGTATAAGATTCGCTACGCGACCGCGGAAACGTCGTGACCGGATGTCACGATACATCTTCGTGACGTTCTCGTTTAGAAATAATCGAAACTCATTGCTCAAGGCAAGTCGCAAATGGAAATGCTGACAACAAATCGTTTCAATTATTCTCCGGATCTTGCTCTTTTACGTTGCGACAACTTTGATATAACTCGAGAGTTTATTATACCACTGATATTTTATATTAACGTATATCTCTCATTAGTGAAGTAACTTATGTAAAAATAACAAATGCTATATAATTGAATGTCAAAAACTGTACATTTCTATAATATAATAAAGTTATATTGAACTTTTAAGTATAAAGTTTTATTGTAAATCAAATAACAGTGATAGTCTCCAAATTATTTTAGTATAGCAAATATTTAATTCTACAAGAAAAAATTAAGCCTTATTTATATTGTTGTCAACCGAGAATACATTTAATCATTTGGGATCCACTTGTAATACGACCAAGTGGAATATTAACGTGCACATATACGCGCATAACACGTCGCTTTGCAATGGAGAAGTCCATGAGTTCGAGGACCCTCGCTCACGAAAGATTGACATGCAATTAAATCGCGTCCGATACGATCTCCACACATCGAAAATTTGCCGATATAAAATCTGTCGTCACCACGATAATCAAGTGACTTGCATGGATCGTGCGATGCGGAGTTAGCAAGGAGTTGGATATAAAATCTAAATTGTTCCAACAAATATGAGGCATAATAAATGTAATTGAATTTTATAATAAGCATATAAATTAACTCATAATTGAGTGTGTCACCTTTAATAAATTCTTTGCAGAAGGTTAGGAATTAGAAAAGAGATTAATATAAACAAACAGTACGTAAAACATGCTAATGCGCTATATTTTGAAGAGCAAGAGTATCCGTTCTTCATCTTTGTTGTTCGATACAAGAAATTGTTCGAGATACGAAACGACAGAAAAATATATATGTAATATGTGCACCCTACGCAAGGATATTTCGTTGGGAAAATTTTGATCCTTCGGGACGACGTGCGCAGCTTTAGCAGGAAAGGGCCTCGTATGGTCATTCTACGAAAACGAATGACATGCGCTTTCGTTGAAATCCTGATATAAAGTGGCCTCGACCCTCGATGTTACCTCATCAGAAACGTCATGTTAACTCTATGCGATTCAATCTTATTTTTATTATCAAGAAAACATATAAGAAATCAAAGTGGAAGCGTTAATGTGTAAATTTATATTTATAGTATGTATTTTTCTATATAATTATTTTATATGTATATAATTTTAACGTTTGTATATACATGCGCCAATCTTCAATATTAAAAATTCTAATCTTTAATTAAAAATTGAAAAAGTTATGAATTAACATTGATTATTTATATACACACACACACACACACAAATTCTAACTTAATTTACAAACAAAATAAACAGTATTTTGACGTAAAAGTAAAGAAGCATAAACGACTGTGGTGCATCCAATACGATTTTCTTGTTGCTAAGAAATGTATGACAACGAGAAGAGAAATGTGGATTCGTAATTCCAATCATTGAAACACGTCAACCTAATCGATGGTAGAAAATGGCATCGCTGATATTTCCGGCAGGCAACGAGTAACCGTAATGTTCGACGTGTTTCCGACAATTCGGAGACGTAGTTCATTTTCCATACGAATTTATTCGCATACAAAATAGACTATCTGTATATGTTTTATTGAAACTACCTTGCACAGACAGGATATTCCTGTCTTCCCTAGAAAAAAAGGCCATTAATCTTAGATAATCCTTTTTCGTTCGTTGTTCTTGTTATAGACTTCGTAGAACATCCGTGCCAAGCAAAACTACTACACAGATTACATAAAATCTCCAAGTGTTATTTAAATTATATATTAAAATCCAAGTTTCCTTTTTGCTCATATAGGTATTTGTTTGTGTATTAGAGTTAATGTGAAAATTAACTATAAAGAAATTAAAGGATTTCAAATTGTTACGAGTGTCATATAACTGTAATTTGTATGTGGTAAATGAAATTAATCATAATAAACTCGGCGTGCACATCGAAGATACCGTTATATCAGGTAACGAGATCTATAAAATTCAAAAACTCGGGAAGAATGGGGAATCGAGTCCCTTAATGCATCCTTGAGAATGAAAGCAAGTTCTGTGTCGCGATGAAATGTGATGTCGTTAAATGAGTTCTGTCATTCTGCACTCGGCCGCAAAAATGTGGTCAAGTGCTCCCAATTGATTGATCACTTAGGAAAGAATTCTGTAACAGAATCGTATTTTAAAGATCATATATCATTTAACACTTATCTCGCATTTTCTTTACCTTAAAAAAGAAATGCAGTAATTAATGTAACATTTTTAACTTTATGTAATTAAATTTTATGTATTATACCATTAACATTACAAAAATTATTTCTATAAGTAGACTCGAAGATAAATATAGGACTAAAAAAATAAAAGCCATTAAAATGAATCAACACAATATACTAAACATCAATCAAGATGCACATTTTTTCTATTTTAAATTAAATTTTGTATATATCTTTGTATAAGAAAACCCGTCTTCTTATCAGAATAATACTTGGAATAATTAGAATAATACTGTTTAATTACAATTTTATTTTTATTACATATAACGATATAAAAATTGTAAAATACAACGATTGAAAGCATGAAGAATGGAGATAGAGATAGGGGCGCGAGCTGGTGGGGATTGACAGCGGAGGGCGGTGTTTCTACCCTTCGTCAGCTGTCCCGTTCGAAGCAGTCAGTGCGCGTTGTGGCTTTGCCACGTGCTTCTCGCGATCTTTAGGTACCCTATGCGATCAAGATCATGCGTCGGAATTTTGTTACCATATCTTTGTGTGATCATCATCAAGATGAAAATATTATCTGGAAACAATTTTGAGTATTTCTGGAAATATCGCGAGCACTTTCACTATCGTCATGATTTCATGTCGCAAAAGTTTCAAAATGCCAACGACTCAAACACATACGCTTGGTAAGTTTTTAAAAGATTTGAGATTAATAAAAATCTGTCAAAATCTCTATGGAATCTTGATAATTTCGATATGTAGACTAAGTATATTAAAATAATCTAGGTTTAACGCGTTTTAAGTGCGTGCGATCTCATCTAAAAATGTTGAATATGACATATATATGTTGTATATCTGTTCAACTGAACGTTTGCAATAATTTAGAAAGTTCGTAAAAGTATTTTAAATATTTTGAAATTATTTAAAAATTTGGAGAAACACATACTTTCTCCCTCTAATAATACGTATGTCAACTATTCATTTCTCTATATACCTACGCTCTGTTTGTAACTCTACAATAAATTTATATATTTTTATATACAATTATGATTTTACTTATTATTTTATATACAATTTTTTTAACAAAAATTTTAATAAAAATTTTTTTTACCGCTAACTAGCAGTTATTACTACAACATTATTGAAAAATTTTAATATATTTAATAATTAATTAATTTTAACTAAATAAAATAAAGAGCGTTTAAAATTATTATGGTTTATATTACGGTTTTGTAATAAAAAATATAAATATCATTTACAATCACAATTTATATAATATTCTCCGTATGTTATCTCATCAATACATGTGTAATAGATTTTGAGTGTTCACCCTTTCTCAGAGGATTTTATTGTATTTCGAATGTTCTTTAACTTGTAAGAAAAAATTGTACGAAACATCGATATCAAAAATATTGTTAAAATTTCATAGGAATGGCTTTCACTTATAATCCAATATACTAATAGACGTAAATTTTCATTATATATTATCCTCTCCTATTAATTATTCATTAATGTATAATCCACTTATTTCACTTTTAGCCGTCACTCAAGCAAATAACGGAAGCGTGCGCATTTGTAAGCGCGACGCGTTGAAGCATATTTTAATGAAATTTATGTGATAAGCGAAATAGGATATGAATTAGAAGTGTTTAACATCAGAAAAATTAAAATTTATATCTGAAATATTTTATTAGAAAAGATAAAAGTCTCAAAAATTGAACAAAAAATAACATGAGATGTAAATACAAGGATCTTATTTCATATAAAAGAATACATATGCATTTAACGAATTTATAAATCTGAAATTGGAACGATTGCTTTTACCACAATGTTCATTGATTAATCCCTTTCGTAAGAACATGATTAGTATTTCACCTTTTGTACGTATATATATTTTTAGTATAATCGTTAAATATACACATGTATTATGCAAGTATGTTAAATCAAACAATAACTTGTTTTGTTTAATATTATTCGGTGCACTCAAAAAACAATTATACCAGTAAAGTGATACTTTCTAGAGAAGTTTGCACTCTTTGCAGGCGTATAAAAATCCGAGCAAACTTAGGCAACATCCCGTACAGAGAATCAAACGAATATAAGAGGTAAACTATCGTGTCCGTCGCGAAAAACTTTACTAGCAAGGGTAAAACGCAATTGGCTAAACCGATAAACATCAGAAAGCTTTAGTCACGTTGAAAAATGCACCTTTTCGAGGCTTCGCTCAAGCGTAGTGAGAAAAATCCCGTAAAAAGTGACGCTCTCGATAGTATCTCGCTTCGGCAAAAGCTTCCGCACTTTGTTCGAGTATTTCCCAGTATTTGACCGTCATATATTTATCAGCTTTCTACGAGGAGAACGAAAGCACCAATGATACGCCAAAGAGGCATCGCAATCACAAACGCACTCCGGAATACACGGAGACAATTATCTATATATTTCGTTGGAGAACTTGATAAATCATACAGATACCAATACACAAGTTGTAATATTGAAAGTAAAAGTCTTAGTTAAAAAGCTTACTATTCTTAATGGCTTTAAAATACATAAGACCCTTCATTGCACATGCATATTTATTTTATAATAAATTACCTTTATATAATTGAAACATTTACAAATTTACCTTTCAAAACAAGACGTTCCAGAAATGTAGAAGACAAAATAGACAGATATATAGTTGCCAAAAAAGTAATATAAGAATACATTGACGAATGCAGAGTGGGATAGTAAAAATAGAAGAATATGATATCAGTCTCTCGAATTCTCCAGGGTGCTGCCGCTGTTGCTGTCGTTCGGTTCACAAACTCTTTCAACATCATTGCATGCTTCTTGATGCGCCACATTACGTTCTGTGTGATCGTCGTCACATTGCTGCCTATCATTTTCCATTTCCTCAGTCGGATGCTGTCGCGCTTGCATCGCTCGTTGCAACAGATGCGGACTTCGAGCTCGAGGTGCTGATCTACCTCTTGATTTCGTGCGCGCCTCTTTGTATTTTGATTTTTGACCCAATGATTTATTTGCTAAAATATACATTAATAATTATAATAAATACACCAAAGTATTCTAAATATAATTTTTACTTGAAAAGAAAGAGAAAGCAAATGGAATACATTAATATAATTATTTGTCAGGTAAATTTGTCAGGTAAATGCGATATTATATTCTGAAAAATATATAACTTAATATTTTAGATTGTATAGAGATGTAAGACCGCTACGCTTTCTTAGCCTTTTTCTATAGAAAAAACAAATTATGTGTATGTGTTTAAAATAAACAGATAACACTACGTGATTCTCAATTTAGTACAGTTTATATATTTTTTCCCCCTAATGTGGTTAAAATTACCCCGAGAAACGCGCTTCTGGCTCACGTCGCTATCGCAATCGCTCTCGTCAGAGAAGTCGGACTCGAGCTCTCGCTTGGATACTCTTGAACGTTTCGTTCTGCGATTGAATGGTACGGGCGAATCGTCCCTTCCATGCAAGATGTACTGTCCGGATGACTGATCCTCAAACTCCTCGTTGTCGTATGTGCGCTTTCGCTGTCCACGCTATCACCATCGTCAACATAAAAATTGCATTTCATACGTTTCATCGAATCAACTATTGATAATCTTCATTCACGATATAATACAAGAAAAGAATGCTTTAAATATTTTACGGAAAATATTGGATTTACGTGTAATTCTGCAGTCTTTTGGCATTAGCACCTAATGCCAAAGTCTCGTATTATGGCCGGTATCGTGCAATAGACTCTTATTACAACTCACCTTACTCATATCAGGTTCCTTTATCTCAATAGATGTAAGGACAATACAATACCCTAGCATTTATACCACTACTATCTCTTTAGAAAAATCTTGTAATTCTTAAGAGATATGAGAAAATAGGGGTAATAGAATTACGTAAATATACATTTAATCAAGATTATAGTAGCGACAACGCTAATTGACACACCTTTCGACGTTGAACGGCATTTCGTCTAGTATAAGGCGAACGTCGGCTTTTTCTTCTTGTTTTATTACTACGATGTTTACTGTTTCGTCGTCGTGACGTAGTTCTTTTCCTATATTCGTATCAAGATAGTAAGTAGAATCACTAATCCATTTCAATTTTTTCCTCTTTTTTCCCCTCACAATTAACATTTCATAATTATATTACATTTCTTACGATAGTTCATCTTTATTAATCCATAAGACATATTGTAAACGTTATTCATTTATAAAATTAAATGTAATATATAAAAGTCGGTTTTGAGATGTGTTTTAAATTAATCGAAAAAGAACACAGATTTGTCGTAGAAATATTAGCATACTTGCGCTCTTGTGTTTGACGAGACGATTCCACGTCGCTATTAGGTGCTTGTACAGCGGATTTTGGTTTTTTCTCTTCGTTTCTCTGATTGTTAGTAGCTGGCTCCTTACCAGCAGGTGGGTTAGAAACAGAATTAGGATTCAAAGTAGCCAGTGCTTTATAACGACCACTCTTATGCCGTAAAAGTCCAGCATTTACTGCACGCTTTAAAGCTCGATGTACCTGCGATGCATTGAATATGTCAATTTAAATTACTCGAAATTTTATTATAGGTCATAATAGAAATCAAGTTTCTCCCTTTTCTATTTCAAAAAAATTATTAACAATTTATGATAGCTTTGTAAAATGTTTATAACAGATTGCAGAAAAAGGAAATACAATAAAATTTTAATAAGATTAGGAACTTTTTATTTAATTATAATAAATATATATCTTGAAATAAATTTCTTGTAAAAATTTAGACATACGTGGAAAACATATTTAACTTTTGGTAACAAGTTTGGAAACAAGTATAAGAATTTATATATACAAATTACTATAGCATATAAACACATAAATTAAAGAAAAATATTCAAAATGTAACGCGTGTATAGCATATGAGCACTTTTATGTCACCTGCAATGTCAAAGTTTTAGCCGATATGTTGCTATGCTGGATAAAACTGAGAACTTCGCGAGCTGACGAACCTCTGGTGTCGTCAAGATTTGCCACTGCATCTAGCACGCGAGCCATGAGTTCCAGATTCGACGGTCGAACCATTTTATAATTTCGCAATTCACTCAACTGCTGCTTGACTATCCTTTTGAATTTCTCTAATAACTAAATTTCACTAAATTTGCCTCACCACATAAGAAATAAATAATAGTAATATAGGATATTAATCAAAATTACCAGCGGAGTTGACCAGTTTTTCACTACAATAATTATTATCGTGTTTTCCTCCCTTCGTTATTTTCTAGTTATGATACATTTCTATTTCAAAAAGTACAAATATTATCTACGATAAATTCTTTCGTATCCATTTTGTGAATCGCGGGACTAGGCCAAATTCTTTAAGCAATTCTGAAATTGATACTACACCTATACTATTACCTGACAAATATTTGAAGCTAAAAGATATCCACACACAATCACTTTTTTCGATGTGACAAATTGTTATGATAAACTCGTCGTAAATGCGGATCGTCCTTAAGAGTACCACAAATTTCGTTGAGGCATGCCATCAAAGTTATCGTCGAGATGTTTGTTGTTTTCAAATGATACTCTTCATCTGTTTGTCGATACTTTTTTTTTAATCAGAAATGTGCCTTATTTCAATGCTTGTATGTTGTTACGTACACTAGGAATCACTGATGCCTTTCCATATAAATTTAGGCAAAGGTAGAACACATATACATTTTCCATCTATGTATATGCAAAATGTGCTTTAAGTATGTCGATATGTGCACAAATTCGTGTGGAAAGGCATCAGTGATTCCCAGTGTATACATACGTACGTATGTATGTACACACAAACTATACGGTCTATATGTATGTAACATACTCGTACATTGAAATTCATTGACATCAACGACTGATTAAGACAGTGATTTATAAGATCCGCGTATTTAATCTGATTTGGAATTTGGGAACTGAAATTGATATATGTTTGAAAACTAAACGAATTCACCAGAATGATTTTTATATTTATATATTTATGATACTGAAAACGCGCGCGCAGGCCAATCGGTAGATACATTTTGTCGCATTTATAGCATGAAACATTGACGTTATGTCATTCCAACCTACAGTTTTGTCACAGCGAAACACTATCGAGCATATGTCAGTGTCAGGAATTCTCGCGGTACCATGGACTCGAATTACAAATTAAACTTTAAGGTACGTCTGTTACGTATACGTAACTCGCACGCCTTCTCGTACGTGTATATTTAATAAACGTACCGTATGACTGATCTCTTCCGTAGTTCCGTGTCTTGTTGACAAGGATTGCATGCACATGACTTACCACCGCAACATATTCGCAATATAATAAAATGATATACTTGTACAACAAAGTCATCTTATATCTTAATTTTTAATATGTATATCATTCTAACAAGAAACATTTGGTCTGAAAAGATTCTTGTTCTTCACTTATAAGAACAAGACATTTAAAAAATACTTTTTTTTAATACTTCAAGGATTAAAAGAAGTTAAATTACTTTGGTAAGATCTGGAGAAATAATATAAAGATAGCAAACGCGTAATTTTGTCACATTTTTATCTAAACATATTCAGAAAGCAACTATATCATATTATAATTTGGAAAATCACTTTCATGGGCGAGTGTTTTCGCAAGATGCGTTGAGTAATTGAAATCCCTGCCTCCGATTTACGTACACAAACATTGCTGATAATCAGGTCATCCTAATCATCACGTTGCAAATGGTACCAACTTTTCAAAGCGTACCTCGTATTTACGTGTGTACAAATAGCTATTTGCGTACGGTGCGGTTCGTTCGCTTTCAAACGTCTTTCGCTTCAAACTATTTTCGAGGGAATGCATATATGTGTCGCACAGGCAGCAAATGTACGCGTAACCGTCAAGATTTACCGATTCGATACCTGTCTATTTACCACACCACGCGTTATCGCGCATTGCCGCCTAAAATCGAGCAACGCAAAAGACATATAGAAGAAATCGAACACATTACTGTTTCGAAACATCGCGAAACAATCAAGAGAAAGATGTCATAATGGCAAGATGTGCCCACAATTTCATATTTCTATCTCATTACACAGTAACAAATTCTAGCTATCAAAATGAACATATTGGTATAATATGAAGAGTACTTGTGTGATTAAGAAAATTTTTTTAAATCAATTAAATTGATGATTCTTGATAGCAAATTTCTGTGTGTTAAATTTAATTGTATTGCGTTACCACTATATCTTAATCCCTTATAAAATTTGATTAAAAAGTTATAATGATGTGTTGCAGGAATTTGTTTCTCAACTCTTATTAATGTTTTACTGATATTTGCTACAGTGCGAAATGTCGAATAATCGTATTTATTACGTCGAATTGATGAACGAAGAAAGCTAGAATACGTCCATCATGAAGCCGAAAGTTCTGCTCGTCTTTGCCAACCTTATTACTTCTACCTTTTTGTAAGTTTAATTTATAAGATGCTCTGTGTTATATTTCATCTTATATCTGTATTTTAATGATGCTATATGCAGAATTTATTTAAAGGTCCACATTTTTTTTTCATTTAAATTCGGCGGCAGTTCGTTAAACGATTTATAAAGCAACTTGAAGATTATGTATTCGTTTATGTACAATAATATAGTCTTCGATACAAAGCATATAAAAATAAATCCGCGTGCATACTTATTGTCTCTTGAATAACTTATTCGTAATTGGAGATCTTCTTTTTTACATATATAAAATAAAGGCCGCTTTTATTTCAACGACTACACCAAGGATATACAATGAATGCAAATTCACTGTGGACATCTCCAGAATGTTGTTCAGTCAATCTTAAAATTAATTGTATTAAGAGCAAACATTAATATTAATATTAAGTCTTGTCGAAAGCAGTAGTATGACATTTGAATTGTAACATTAAACAATTTTAAATCAAATATTTTCGAGCGAAAAGTTTAATAACTATATCTACAAGCAGCAATTTATTTGGCTGATAAAATTACGGCACTTGTTTTAGAGTGGCCGTGGATACAAAAACTTTCCTCAGGCAAAGAACACAGAGCAACAACCATAGCAACATTAGCAATCTATTGGATAATTTACTTCGCGGTTACGACAATAGCATTAGACCAAACTTTGGCGGGCCCCCGGCCACTGTCGAAGTCGATATTATGGTACGCAGCATGGGTCCCATTTCTGAGGTGGATATGGTCAGTTATATTTTTTTGTTTATCTTGCGGCATAATGCCAGGCCATCACGATTTTTATCTGTTTAAATTAGGGACGATTGTGAATTTCTATATAAAGATAGATTATATGAATGATTTAAACGAACTTTGAAATTTTCTGCAGACATACTCAATGGATTGTTACTTTCGGCAATCGTGGGTCGACAGACGTTTAGCATTTCAGGGTGGTAAGGAAACACTCGCCCTGAGTATTTCTATGTTGGCGCGAATCTGGAAGCCCGACACGTACTTCTACAATGGCAAGCATAGTTACTTGCATACCATCACTAGCCCGAATAAATTCGTCAGACTTTATCAGAATGGCAGAGTTCTTTACAGTTCCAGGTATGTTTCAATGAATCTCGAGTCCGTAGATTCAAAGCATGCATAAACTTTTTATATCAAAAGTTATAAGTACGAGTTATCAAAAATAATCAATTTCTTCTAATCGTCATAAAAGATAGAGAAAAAATAAGAGATATAAAAGAAAAACAATCTATACTCGTATTATTAGTATTACTAACATAAAAATATTATTTAAAGTCTGCCTATTAAAATCAACAATATGAATGCAAAAGAGAAAGTCTTGTCATATCTTTATAAATTTTGGATTAAAGTACATAAATAATACGAAAGATTTAGTCTTTCTGCTGTCCGTATTGCTGTCCTCTATTACTATAAAATATTCTTCTTAAAAAATCGTGAGAAGCGTAATGACATTTCCTGCAAAAGTATCGTGAGATTTATAGCTGAAATTATCTCTTATCATCGTTAATCGCTTATAAAGATTCTTTTCTTAAAAGAAGTCATGTATTATAATTGTACTCTGTCAATTATAGATAAACTTTTAACTATATAATTAAAAATATTCTGTAAAATTAGAAGAGACTAGCGTTTCAAAGTGTCCAAATCAATAAAAGCAGAAATCAATTCGAATTGATATTTTTGCATTGATATCTGTTAGTAATGCATAATCCTAATTTTTTCACAAAAAGAAATAGAGATTGTGCACGTAAGATAAAAGCAAGTACATATTATGTCAGTGTTCGCTCGGTACTAAATCTGTGCAAATCTTTTCTCGGCAACGTGACATGTGCAAGGTCTGAGGTATCTCGAACTCAAGGGTTAATTCTGCTGCATACAATAGAGCCGATCTGGAAGACTAGGTCAAGAGAAAGGGAACAGATTAACAATAATGAGATGTTTATATCGCTTCAATACTCCTTTTCTATGTATTTGTATTTAATTTGTACCAACAACAAAAAACGAAGTAGCCTCGATGATACATACATAACTTGACAAATCGACAAAAGGATTTTATATAATTGCTATCTCAGGTAAAAAATAAGTTTGTTTTTTTTTAAACGAGGTCTCGTATATTTTTCTCTGACCGACTGGACCCGTATCCATTTAGACTGGGGAACGTCGTGATCACGTCCGTGGTGTTATTTACTCGACACTTTATTAGCCGTTACCTTTTATCCGACCATCGAAGTTTAGCTAAACCAGTGAGAATCACTGATTTTAGTATTTTCGAAATCTAATATAGATAAATTTCTGTTCAAGTTATAAACTAAATCATATTTATTATATATTATCGATATTATTATTATTATTATTATTATTATACTGGGGTGTTATGTAATACCCGCCTCATCTCTTATTTACGAATAGAGCGGATTAGACTGGTCGAAAAATCCTCTACCATTTTGCAATTTTCGCAATAGTTAACGAGTTATTAATTATTACAAATCGCTGTCTTAGCTCGGCCTATCGCCTATGCGACCATCGACGTTGCTAGGTATGCGGGGAGTTGTTTATTATACGTAGCTCTTGCCGTGTGTCATAAACAAGCATTTTCAAGAGAAGCTAAGAGAGAGAGAGAGAGAGAGAGAGACCCAATTTTGCGCGAGTATGTCGAGCATGAAGTGTACACCGTTCAAATGGTCTCTCTCCCTCTATCTCTGTTTCTCTAAAACCTTCTCTGTCGACCGGTAGATCCTGCCTTTGAAATATACCGCGTCTATATTTCAACAGTCTGAAATAGCAAATGTATGAAGTGGAGCCTTTATAAGAATTTTGAGACATGTAGAGATAAATCGAGAATTCAAAAACTTTTGCGGAAATATAATTAAACTTGTATCCTATAAAGATGTGTCTATTTAAAATATTTATAAAATCAATAACACCTATAATAACATGTTGCAATACAATAAATAATGTAAACAAGTGTATTATAACTCATACAAAAAAGTAAGACCAAGTTACCTGTAAAGTATAATCCTTAAAATTTTATCTAGTAAATATATAACATTTATACAGTCGATCAGTATATATTCCCTATTGATTTAGAACATTTATTCAGAAATGCTTGCAACTAAATAACATTTCTGGTTAAAATTCAATTGACAGTTTTTTTCCTATTGAATGATTTTCCAAGATTTTCTGTATCGACATATTGTTTTCAAGCTCGATATCTAGCACAGTATTTTAAAACATGTCTGATGATATCTGTTAAGTGGATTAAAAATAAAATTTTGCTTTAATTGATAATCCAAAAAATATCCTTCAGCGTGGTCGTGAGCATGTTGTGAGATCAATAGAAATAGTTCAATACACATGTATACTGCACAACAGAAAAGCCACACTTCTTTTCCGTAATTCTTGCTTGAATGGCGAGAAACTTTTTGAGAGCGACTTTTGCTTTTCTTTTTCCTTTGACATAGACAACGTCTATTCGGATCAAGTTTTCGGATTAGCTTTTGTCATCTGAATGTTTACCCGAGAAATTGTAAGTACTCATATCTTTCAGAGCATTCAAGCGGTAAGCAACAACATTTCTGACAGCACTATTCATTTTTTACAATAGTTTATGTTTAAATAAAAATTTATTCTGTTTATAAATCTTGTCCTATTTATTTTAATAATTTATTTTGTTAATTTTTTCAAGAATAAATGTCGAATAGGCTTTTATCATGTTTTTGTACCTTATTCAAGTTAAATATTATTCTAATCTGATTTATCCCATAATCATTTACCATTGTATGTGAGACTTCTTCGCACATACTGCTTTTCATTCTATGCTTTCATTTCTCCTTCACAACGCTTCTTACACTTTCTCTTTCTGCCCCCCCCCCCCTCTCTCTCTCTCTCTCTCTTTTAGCTACCTTTTTAAAATTTGTTCTCGAAGAAAATTATCAAAAGAGTCGAGATCTCGTCTTGCTATCTTCAAAATTGCAGCAAATTATTTATTTAAATTTTAAATAAAAGGCCGTTTAACTTTACCGCTCGGTTAATTCTTTTTTGACGTTTCCGTAAAGTTAGTTTCTCTTTATTCTTTTAATCTCTTCTCATTCAACTTCGTTTTATCTCACGCTTCTCCAACTGTGATCGTCATTATTCATGAGGCAGAGAAAACTTGTCATTACAAAAGAATAAAACTTTTGCTCCTTTTCATCGATGTTGTCAGGGAAGCGAGAGTGAAGAGAAGGGGAGGAAAAGAAGAAGGGAGAGAAGAGAATATGCTTATTGTAGCGTAGAATTATAAGTCTCATTAGAGTAGCCATCTGTATAATGTGTTCTACGTAAGTAGGACGTAAGTAGGAGTTTAGAATACAACTTTAAACCTCTCATGGTCTTGCATAAAATTATCATCATGTATCATTTGAAACTTTCAATATATTTAACCAACTACAATTTGCACAGAAAACTAACTAATTCTCCTTAATTTTAAGAAAATTATAATATCATTCTACTCCTTCAACTCTTTTACAACAAATATCACGGTGCAAAGTAATCGGACTAAGATTTAGAGGATTCCGCTAAGAGTGAGATTAATTTTTTTGTGTGAACCCACCCGAATTGTAACCAATAAAAAGAAATCAAAGTATACTTCGTACAGCACCTTATTTAGGTATTCCATCAGAGTGGCCAATATTGACCACATACCTCATCGTATTTAGTCCTTCGGTGGGCCAGATTGGACCTACCTTTCGTTGCTCCCGGCCATACAATCTGGTCATTTTGACCAGAGATCAGGAAGGAAGAAAACTCCTTCCATAGTCGGTTATCGTCACCGACAAATATTTCGTACGGTTCGAACTATATGCGAGCGACGATTGTATCGAAAAATGCATGACCAGGAGAAAAGTTGTTTAAAGGAGAAACTTAATTTTACAAAATTTAATTTCTAAATCTGATCCAAGTGTAATTTTACTTCTGTTTTCAAAAATATTGACTGTATCTTCGTGACTCGATTTTTTAATATAGGTACAAATTTAAGCACATAAATATAGGAAAAATGTTCCTTTGCGTTATATTTATTTTAATTTTATTCCGCGATAAAAAAATTAAAATTTATAATATGGATGAAATTAAACAATTAATAATTTCTTGAATATGTTGTGAAAAACTGATCGCGAAAACCGACCGCGAAAATCGACCGCAAAAATACGAGATGCGTGTATTTATGTTAAACGCATCTTGAGAGTATCGCGAGACATGCAAAATAAGTGACGCAAGATCCAGAAAAAAGCAACTTGCCGCACGAGTGACACCGATATTATAATTGAATATTACAGTTAAACGATAATCTCAAATAAAGTATAAAAATAATTTCAAATTTACGCATTCTCGACAAAATATATTGGAATCTTACGTCATGTTATTTTATTATAGTACATATAACAATTCATTAATTAAAAATGGATAGGTTACGAGAGATTGGTTGGCCGAATACATCGATAATATTCGTCATATTTCACATAATTTCTGTAATGTATTTCACCGAACATAACAAATGAGCTGAACATACTCTGATTTGTAGAGCTCTATGATATAATTTTTTATCGATAATAAAATATATTAAATAAAACGTAAAATTATTTGTAACCTATCCATTTTAACGTAACGGATCTACGAAATGTCAATCAATCTACAATCTATGATCTAAAAATGTAGATTCCGTTACTTTAATAAAAAAACTTTTCACTCACCGACACGATGCGCAGCGGCGGAGTTGTATCTGCAATGGCGCCCGATGCCTCTTCCTCCACTCAGGTGTCCTCCTCTCAGGTGTCGTTGTCTCAGCTGTCTTCCGACACACTCGCGAATTTACACTTCCGTTTGTAAAGTCACTTGTCACTGTCATTGTATCCAAATGCCACTTTTTTGGTTTTCACTGTGTCCGATTGTCACTGAGTTCGATTGCGCACTACGAACTGTTCGATTACATCGTCGCACTGATACCCGCACAAATCACTGACACAAATCGCGGGAATTCAGCGATCGCGGTTTTTGCCCGCACTTGTCGCGAACGCGTATCAAGAAAGAATAATACTGTGTGCGAAGCGGCGCGGGCACGCAATTCGTTTCTCATTACAAACTGTAGAAGCTCAATAATTAATCAAGGAACGTTACTTGTTGCTGATAAAGGTGTGCAAATCAATAGCGTTTTATCCCTTCATTCATCACGATCGAGTCTTGGAAACCGATAACGCAAAATAACGCAAAAGTAATAACACGCACGGAGCGACTCTCGCCACTGCTTGCCGGCTCGACGTTCGGCGAGCGAATGATAGCGCAACGACCTTCGAGTACACGATGGCACGCAAAAACATCGTACGTCACCGCGCCGAGTGAAAAACAACAAAAAAAAACGTTGAGAATTCGTTGTCCCACCTACGAAATGGAAAATTCCGTACTTAATATTTTACATTACTTTGTTCCGTGATTGTTACTACGTTTTGTATCATTCTGCGGACTTATTGGTACCGATTAAATAAACTATTAATTCTGTTCAATCGAGAAAATGTATCGGAACAAAAATCGTTTTTCTAAATTGCAAATCTTCATTTACTACGAATCTAAAAGAGAAGTGAAGTACACCGCGCTTCGAGAAAACCAATTGGCATCGCGGAAAAGAGGCCTCGACTGTTCGATATTAACGACATTCGCGCTGATAACATCTCTTTTTCAGAAAAGGATTATACATCTCGAGATTATAGCATTTAAAAATTTGGTAAAAACTGTATGTCGTTTCAGACTTACGATTAAAGCAGGATGCCCGATGAATCTCGAAGACTTTCCAATGGATACACAGAGATGTCCATTGCAATTCGGCAGTTGTAAGTTTAATAAATTTATTTATTTGTTTTGCAACTTTCAGAGATATCATCGTTCTTCTCCTTTTCGCTTATGCTTCTTACTTTCAACCTTTAACAACATATTTTATCAGTAATTTGTGATAGAAAGATCTTGGCAACAAAATAACGGGGATCAAACTTACTCGTTCCTTGAGTGATTTTTAACGTAAAAAATTATGCACCGTTTAGCGTATGCACTTGTTACAAAGCAGAGAATTACAATTTAAAAATAAACCAATACCTATCAATTACATCGGATTTCTTATATTTTCTTACCTATTTCTTTTATTTTTAAATAGAAGTGTATATATTTAAATAGTGAAACAGCGTGTAGTTATCGATTATATTGGCTACCATTTGAGAAAATACCTACATCGATCTTTTTGGCAAGGCGAAATTAATTTACAGTTGGCTATACGACACGCGATGTAATCTATAAATGGAACAGCGCAAGGCAGGTTGCTATAGCAGAGGACATGAAGCTGTCACAATTTGATCTGGTTGCCAATCCTACCGCAAATCATTCGACTGCACCGGGTTTCTCACATGGTAAGTGCAAATCAAGAATATTCGACTTATCAATGTTTCTTCTAGCATTGTGTGAGTTTAGTACATCTATTTTTATCTATTTTAATAGATTAAATTTAATAGATTTAGTACAAAGAAGTAGAAAACGACAATTGAGAATTATAGTGCTAAGGATGTCAATAAAAATCCAATTAAAATACTGTATGTATCAATTAACTCACAAAGTCATGAGCAAATAAAACTAAAGTAGTTTGACGAGAAAAGGCCGAAAATTGGGAATTGTATAGAAAATACGGTGAAGCAAGAAGTATTCCGTGTGCACCTCGCACTACTGTCAATATTGAGAACACGGAGAGATGACCTGGAGAACGAAGGAAAAGTAATGTCGAAAGTCGGCGCACAGAAATGACGACTAATTGCAGCCTTCTCTAAAAGACGACTATTATCTCTTTTTCTCTCTTAAGCTTTCATTGTCCGCACGTATAGGCGAGCAGCCCAGAAGATAGTATGGTACATAAATCTTAATAGAATTATTATCGATTAGTAAAGGTGCCTCTTGAGTCAATTACTCGGTCGATTGGGCACTTATCGAGGAAATCTGCTTAAACTCGTCAAGTCATCAATCCGGCACACAATTTCTATAATAATTTTAAATAGCATAATTTAAAAAGCAAATCATTATAACAATAAATTTTTCGATGTTATGCTTTGTCACGATAAAGATTTTTAACTCTGGTAGACTCTATTCTAGTAGAATATAAAAAGCATTGTACAAATGTTTGTAAAATACTCTATAGAAATACCGTATGTGATTGGTCAGGGTTAAGTAATTGTTGATTTATTAAGTATTCAATAGTACATCTTTAAATGTAAACTAAAACTCTACTTAAATCAAACAAGCGAGATGTTGGTAGCTCAATAATTTATTCCATCTAAATGAAACTGACGCGCAGGACAAGGTGGAAAACGGTATATAAATTCACATTTTAGATTACAATTATTAGGCCAACATCTTGCTCGGATCTAAAGGCGCTCTCGCTTGTTTGATTTATATCATAATGGTCATATTTAACTTTATAAAACTACTTAAACCACTTTGGTGAATCTTTATATTGAAAATTTCTTGATAATCATCGAAATATTTTTGTTAACTTGTTAAAAGCATATAGCGACGTGTGCACGTTATTCTTAGCCATATGTTAAATATATTTCAGCAGAATATTCGATGCTCTTGGTGTACTTCCACTTGCAAAGACACATGGGTAACTTCCTAATACAGGTATACGGTCCTTGCATCCTATTAGTCGTCTTATCTTGGGTCTCATTCTGGTTAAACAGAGAAGCTACGGCTGATCGAGTGTCACTAGGTGAGAGCAGTTATAAAGGAAAATGATAACTGAACTTTTGCAAATTCAACAATTGAAATTAATTAACCAACTACAATTATATTCCTCTATTATTCACTGAAATTCAAATGGACTTTACTGTTGTAGGATTTATACTAGCACAGTTCGATTGTCACGCTACGTCTTGTTTCAGGCATAACTACTGTACTAACAATGACGTTCTTAGGACTCGAAGCGAGAACCGATCTGCCTAAAGTTCCTTATCCCACTGCTCTGGATTTCTTCGTCTTTCTCTCGTTCGCGTTCATCTTTGCTACTATAATACAATTCGCAGTAGTGCATTATTTCACGAAATATGGATCGGGAGAGTGTTACTTTAGCTCCGATCTAAGCGATACTGAAAGTTCAAACGAAGAGGAAGATGTAACTAGAAGGCTAATAAAGAGTCAACCGGTAAATAGCTCACTTCGAAACGACAAATTTGTTAATGTTTACATTTATTCCTTCCTTCTTATTTCACAAATATAAATGATAAGATGTACACATTGAATGGGTAAAATCTAACAATAAGTAAATTCAAAGAGGAGACAAGAAAATAAGGTTCTAGCAGATTTACAACATTCTTCCTTCCATTTCCAAGTCATAATATAACTTGAAACGTTTAGATTGAAGGCAGAAGGAGAATGAACAACGGCTTCGACTTATTCACATAAATATTGTGTTTTAGGCTCGTCGGAAGAGTTCGGCGAGTTCTACTGCACGAGGACATGGCAACCGCAACTTGGCGATAAATGGCGACAGTATGATCGAAGTGATACCATTGTCAGCGATCTCGATACCCGACAGAGATGCAACGGTGCCTGGACACTGGCAGATATCTTGTGTGACCTGTAGCCCACCGCCGCGACAAATGCCGCCGCCGCCGCCGCCATCCAGGCGAACAACGTCGTCCACGTCCAGAAGACGACGTCGACGAACACCTAGATACAATTCTGTATCGAAGATTGATCGTGTCAGTCGTGTAATGTTTCCCCTGTTTTTCCTGACCATCAATCTCTTCTATTGGTACGCGTATCTTTCGCGCAGCGAACGAATCCACTATTACAATTCCAACACAGCGTGATAGGATCTCCTTCCTCAAACAAGAAATTGTCAAGATTATAAATTGCGTTGATCTCATTATCGGATTATTAAGTGACGGAAGATTTTGTCGAGGAAAACTTAAGATTCCAGGCGAAACATCAAAGTTCGTTGATAACGACATAGTAAAAAATTATATTGACTTCCATTATAAAAATGATTATAGAGAAATAATGAAAAGATGTCAGCATAAAATACATCATAAGAGAGCTAAACGTGTTTTCACTAAATAAACTTATAATCAAATAAATAAAGCAAGTACACTTGAAAATTGAGCGGAAAGAATGTTACCTTAATATAATATTATTTTATTTTACTTAATTTCTAAATTTTTCTCATCCTGCCTAAAAGAATTAACGCTAATCAAATGATCAAGGTAGTAAAAGTAGGTTTCTCTAACATTTCTAGTTAGCTGTTCTATTCTAGTTAGATAATAAAATCATATTGCTACTAAAAGTAAAATTTTATACATATATGTATGGCATTTACTAAGTAGTTGCAGGTAATTATAAAAATTAATTAAATTGAATTAAAAATGATTACAATACTACAAAGAAACCTCAGCTTCCCTCATGGAAAGATAATAGAAATTGCCATCTTATTTGATATTAAAAATTCGCGGAAATTTGATAAAAGCTTGTCTTATGTATAATTCTGCTACTACTGTCTGGCTAGAGGCAGAGAGAAGATTGACAATGAGAGCAAGATCATGTTGGTGATCCATGCTAGTGTGGCACAGATAGAAACCAAATAGCATTTTCCATCTGGATAAGTAGATGAACGTAGTTCCTACTCCCACGATAAAATAGATGCGATGGCGCTATAAATCAGCACGATCCGGCATGACCACTCTGACTTCTCTCTGCTAGAGACACAGTGTAACAATAAGATATCTGAATCCATTTGAATAATAGTCGATATATCTCGCGAAACAATTAGAATCGATTAATAATGACCGTCCAGCGAAACCTTTGCATTATCGATCATTGACATAATTATTCGCAAATATATGTATGTATGTATAATATAATATGTGTAAATTCCAGAATATACAAAATGCGTATTCTTTTTTATACTAAATTAAAAAAATTGTCCTTCTAATGGTTATTTTGATCAGGTTGAGTTAAGTTAATTTACTTTTCTCAATGAAATAAAAAAGGATTTCCTAAATAAAAATTTATTTCTTATTGTGTCATATAATAGCGATAACATAAAAAAAATTTAAACTTAATTTAATTTCCTGTGGCCCACGCATGAATTACGATTGTAATGGCTAGGACCCGAAAGTTGGTGCGATTTCTCGGTGCGCGCGAAACACCACCGCGTGCGAGTGAGTCGAACATTCGGACCCTAGGCCAGTATTCATAGTCAGATCTTACATTCAAGACTGACTCAACATCATCTTTAAATACTCCGTAGTGAAACGTTCCGTACAGCATCTTTAGATAAATTCAAGATGGTTTTGAATATAAGATCCGACTGTAAATACCGACCCCAATAATGATACATAATAAATTTACGTGTACCCTTAGATTAGATAAATGTTCAAAATTGAAATACAAAACATATTATAACGTCAGACAGTAACATTGTATGTGACAAGAAAGAATATAAGTTATATATGATTTATGCATATATATACATGTATATATACATTCATAAATATATAACTTATATACATACAGATTTGTATTATAACATCTAACGTATATATGTAAAGAGAGTAATTATGCTTTTGTTTGGACAAAAATACATATCTCACAAAGCATTCATCTTCAAGTGCGTTTGGAAGTATTTACCATCTCCTTTCGTCGCTTGCTTATTAATTTCCTTGTGACGCTCTCGACTCACTATCTCCTCCAATACTTCTCCATCACCCTTGATTAATCTTGGAGAAAAGAGAAAAATTTAGTTCCAAATTAGTATTTAGAATTTAGAAGCGATAATAAATTTATGTATGTCGTACATTTCATTATCCGTGTTCAATTACTTTGTAACATATTTACCTGTGTCTTCCAGTTTCTTCGTCGTACATTCTGCGCACGATGCTCTGCCTTTTCTCCCATTCCTCTTTCGTCATGGGCGCCATGGCTTTCGCTCTTTCTATTTTCACGTCCGATACAATTTCCTTCATTTTATCCTTGTCGTCCTGAACTTGCTTATTTTCCTTCGACTTCTTCTTACCGTGCCCTTTCCTCTTGGATGCAGATTTCTTTAGTCTCCTCTTCAATTTCTTCCTCATGCGTTTCTTGTTCTTCCGCTTCTTCATGGCCTTCTTCAATTTCTTAGCCTTCTTCTTGGCTCTCTTCTGCTTCTTTTCGTCCTCCGAGCTATCAATGCTGCTGCTACTGCTACTGCTGTCAGTGTCGCTGCTACTGCTACTGCTGTTGCTGCTGCTGGAACTACTACTGCTACTGTCGCTACTGCTGCTACTGACACTAGAAGAACTAGATGTGGACGACAATCTTTTCCTCTTTAACTTCTTGCGACTTGGCTGAGTTATACTTGGTGTATTTTCCGCCTTCTTCTTCTCCTCTCTGTGTCTCATTTGTTCGACTGTATCTGTATCATCCTTCACCGAGTCAGACTTTTCTATCTTAGAAGTGGACCTTGACTGATTCGTATGCTCCTTCGAAGTACTCTCTCGCGATAGCCGACTAGTCGCATCCTGGCCAATATTTCTATAATAACTTGATACTCTTGATCTGTTATGATTAAATGTTCTTTCGAAGCTTCTGCTATTATATCTATTATAGTGATAATTGTTATGCGTATCTCTTCTATTTCTATTATAATTGTGGTATCTATAAGGTCGTGAATATCCATAATCTCTTTGATTATTCATAAAGTTACCATGCCTCCGATTGTAGAATCTGTAATCGTTATTGTACTTTCCGCTTCTTCTTTGCAACTCCATATTGTTTTCGTACCTCTTAGTTTTGTACCTGGTATCCTCATCCCTATCCTTCCTTGCTTTATGCGTAGCTTTCTCCGAGTTTGAGATATCAGAAGAACTAGAACTGTTGGAACTACTCCTACGTCTCGACTTCTTCCTTTTATCCTTGCTGCATACATTTCGTCTCTTTCTGTTCTTCTCAGAATCATTGTTGGAGGAAGATGCCGAACGTCTCTTTAGCTTGCCCACCTTTGCTTTATCAAATGACTCTGTCTCCATAGCGAGATTCTCCAAATTATTCATCGTAGCGATAATCTGTCGAAAACAAGCTTAATTTCAAGCAAATCTTGTAGAATCAACTCAATTAAAGTAAATTTCATTTGCACAACTCAATCATCTCTCTCGCACAGTCAAGTCTATAAGAATACTTCACTTGTCGTATTATTCTCAATGAAACGCACGTTCGTTTCAACCAAATATATATGTATACGTAATCATCCATGAGCCACGGAAGATTTAGCTTTTCCAACAAATTTCGATATTTACTCACTGCAATACGTTACAAAATCTAACCTCACACGCCACGTTCACGCCATTGTTACATCTTGTCACGTAAAACCATCGTGTCAGACAAATGATAATCTATCTTTTTTTCACTTATTAATAATTGATCGACACAAGTATCGCATTTACGAGAAACGCCTCAAGCAATTACCTGATCATTATTCTCTAACCATCTCCGACTACTCAATTCCCATCGTTCCGTTTCGAAAACTTGAAACGGCGCGCAAGACTGCTTCTCATATACTCGCCTTATTTAGGGTCTTTTTTCGGCAAGCTTGCCTTTTCCGTAGCCCTTCTGTTGGTAATGGATTCTACCCAAGACTCATAAATCATCACCGCGGTTATAAAACCATTTGTGCCAAGCCAAGAAAACCGTAGATATATTTATGATATATTACACCACAAAATTCCTGTATATTTTAGTAATGTTCAATTATAATCTTTTAGATTTTCTTAGCACTTTAAATATTTTTAATAAATACATCTCTTACGAAATTAAATTTCGCGCGTTTACAGCATTTCCAATATGGCGTACTTTAGTGTTCATGAAAACAGTGCTTTATTTTTTATGAATATAAATATTTGTAATCGAGCTATAATTTTCATCGACTGTATCGCTTGTCTCGATTTCTGAAAAATTCAATTGTGCAAAAGCTACTATCGGCAGACAGAAACCTGCCAATTCATCAACTACGCGTGCTTTCGAAGCGTCCAAATAATTAAACACTAGTTGATTAAAAAGTATAGCGTATCTATTGACAGTAAAAAATGATAAAACTAGGAATAAATTGTTGCTGCAAAGATTAAGTAATCTTTACGCTTGAATATTATACTTTTACCATTATAAATATAAAAATGTATACTTAATACTATTTTACATATGATTATTACTATTTTATATTTTATTAACCATGTAATAATACACAAGCATGCAGTCCTTCATTTCACGTTCCGAGACTACTACTTATTTTTTTATGTTTTATACCTTTGTACATATGACACACACGTATTACGTTAATTGTTATGTTCACAATTTAAAAGCGTTAGAGAGGCATGAATTAAAAACAGTTGAGAAAAACATTTATTCTTCCTTTTCTTCTTTATTATTGTAAATTTTTCTCATCCTAAAGAACAGCATAGTTTGCTCGTAATAATTAAGGTTATATAGTGTCACACATGCATAATATAAAATTGAAACAAAGTTTAATAAATGCAAACGAAATTGTGCTTGTGATTTAATTTGGTTTTGCAAACCAAGTTTACAGTCGGCATATTAAGGAATAGTATTTTACTCTATTTTAATCGATGCTACCGAATCATCAATAAATTACGTAACTGTAATCATTTAAATCTAATACATTCCTCGATGCATCTAAATTTTAAGATATTGCAACTAACGATAAGAAAAATAGAGAGCGATAGAGAAGGGCAAAAGACAAGATTTATAATTATAATGGTTAATGTGGTTTATGCTCTCACTATGTGTGTCACACAAATATACATATTTTATCTCTAAGTGGTGAGCTTGTGCAAAGATTTATATTAGTAACGATTTTTGGAACACGTCAGATATCATCATACGTCACTAAATGTGTACCAAACTCGATCCTGCTCTATCCCTGGAACTAGAAAAAATTATTGAGGCGATCAGTGCACCTAGAAAAGGACTGTTGGCCTGTGACGAGTCACCTGTGAGTCTAGAGGAGAGATTTCAGGAAATCGGTGTAGATAATACCGAATCTACGAGACGTGTCTATCGAGAAATGCTCTTCTCCGCTGATAAGGTTGCTGCATGCTATGGCAGTAAAAATGTTAGACCGCGGCAAAGGCATAACGCAACAGATTGCAAATATAGCTTAATTCATAATCGCAGTAGTAACATACGATAACATTAGATAAGATAAAGAAGAATAAACTTAACAGTTTTGTATTATTTTTTACTTCAGTCTCAATTGTCACAATACATAAGCGGAGTGATTCTGCATCCCGAAACGGTTTATCAGAGAACGTCGGAAGATGTAGAATTTATCGAGTTTTTGCGGCGAAGAAACATCATACCCGGCGTGAAAGTCGATCGAGGTTTGGTGCATCTCTTCGATACCGAGGACGAAAAGATTACGCAAGGTTTGGACAACTTACAAGAGAATTGTATTTGGTACAAAAAGAAAGGCTGCCACCTCGCCAAGTGGAGATGTGTTTTTACAATTTCGGAACAATGTCCCAGTCAGCTGGCGATGATTACCAATGCAAATGCTCTTGCGAGGTTTGCGATCATGCTAATATTCGTGCAAGTTTATACGCATCGCACGACTGGCAAAAGCTTTCACGAAATCCCTCCTACACATACTTTTCTCTCATAATACTCCCTATATGCAATTACAATATAACTTTTATTAAACATAGATAAAAATTCACAATTGGCATTTGATAGAATCGTTCAAGTATATATTCTCACGTGTAAAAAGTCGCTGCACACAAAAGTAGAGTTCCATTGTGTAACATTTTTCTTGAAATGTCTCCGTTTTATACAGGTTTGCTAGCATCTGTCAAAGCGCGCGGATGGTCCCCATAGTAGAACCGGAAATATTGAGCAACGGCGAATACGGTATAGATAGGGCTTTACAAGTTCACGAGGAGATGCTGTCCATCCTGTTTCGTGCTCTGAACGAGTATCACGTGTACCTTGAGGGAATGGTTTTGAAGCCAGCGATGGTATTATCGGGTATAAAAAGTCCAATGAAGTGCAAGCCGCAGGTATCATTGCATATAACTTAGTTTAACAATAGAAAGCAAATTGTATTTTTCTAAGAACACATCTTTATTGTTTATCGCGATCACAGGTTGTCGCTGAGTATACGCTTAGAGCATTACGAAGAACAGTACCCACATCTGTTCCGGCAATTTTTTTTCTAAGCGGCGATCAAACCGACCAAGAAGCTGTGTTAAATCTAAATGCCATTAACGCATGTGACAATAAAAAGCCATGGAGACTCAGTTTCTGCTATGGACGTGCTCTGCAGGTGCTTGAAAATTTGTTTTATTCTGAATAGAATTTCTTGTACCTTCTGATATTCATATAAATTCTTTGGCAAATTTATCAAAGCTATTACAAGCTGGTAAAAAAAATTCCATACGTTTCACCTGTTACTGTTTCGTTAGAATACGGCGATGAAAATTTGGAAAAACAATCCGGAAAATGTAGCCAAGGCCCAAGCAATATTTCTTGAAAGAGCTCAATTATGCTCTAAAGCATCCGTGGGAGAATTACAAGTTCAAGAGAACAACGCGTGTATTCGTTCGTGAATTAAACAAATATGTAGTTATCTCTTTTCACAGGCTAATTATATGTACACACATTCATAAAATTTTACAATTTCCAGAAAACAAAATTAACAAATATTTAGAATTAATACAATTATTTCAAATACATGCATATGTGTATTGCTAAATTATTAAGATTATTTTTTAATAAATAAGAAAATAATTATTTCAACAAAATACATATATACGATTGAAATGAGAACTCTTCACTTTCAAACTTTCCAAAAGTCATAGATATGTATATGAAGCTTGGCTATAAATAAGGATTTCTTGATAGTGTCTAGTGATAAAATATAATCTCTGTCAAATCCAACGAAACGAATAAACTATAAATATATCTGTCACTGTATTCACTATCAGTACATTTTCACATATGTAATTTTCATATTTTTAACAAAGTGTTGAATTTGAAAAATTCTATAAATAGATGTATAATATAAAAAATCAGTAAGACGTTGACCTAACGAAAAAACCTGAAGCAATCACTAAGTAGATAAAAACAGAGGCGAATGGGTCGAGCCCACTTTTTAACTATCACACACGCGATAAGACAATCCGGTGATTAAAAGACAGGAGGCGCGTCTGATGATACTTGTGCGTCCAAATGTTTCCATCTTTAAGACTAATTAAAAAATTTCCTCAGTTTCGGTAAATGTTAAGCAAGGTGCCCTTGACTGACCTCTGACGTAACGGTTCTCAATGCAAGGCTCTCGTATACGCGGACTTGCACGTCGACTGGTCGATATGTCGTCATCTCCCCGGCGAATTGCTCTCCGACGATGCTCCAATGCCCTCCTTCCTGGATAACGCACGTGGTACACGCCAGTAACGTACCAGTCGTATGCTGCGAAATAATAGCGGTCTCCCGATTCAAGAAAATTGCTCGGACGATCAATTCTCTTTTGCAAAACATTTTTTTAATTGTGGATCGGTGCCATTCTATCAGTGATAGTTTTTAGTGAACATTCGATAATAATAAAGGAGTCGAAATATTGAACAAATTACATGTATATATGTATATACATAATTCAGCAATTTTACATTTAATATTTTACATCATATATACATGTTAATATAAATTTTTTCTGTATTATTATTTTGACGGACGTTCACCCTTTGACCCTAGTTTAAGGTCGTGTGACGAAAGCCGACCGGCTGATCTCAGAGTCCGCCCTACCTTTGTGTCATAAAGTTGAGCACCCCTCGTGTACAAGAACTAAAGCGCACGCGCGTGATAAACACACAATCAGACTTTGAAACCGACGATGACGACGACGACGACGGCTGGCTCTTTCTCAGTCACACTCCAACCATCGGGTGGATTATAACAGGCGCTCGCGCGGTTCCCACACAGAAATTCTCATTTACAACTAGGTAAGTCCACGTGTGCTGCCTCGTTTTCACGACAGAAAGATTCTGTACCCAAGGGACATGCCTTCCTATCCATGCCAAGTATCGATTTCGTATTGCCTCGAGGATTACCTGAAATTTTATGTCCAACCTATCTATAACGACCTTTGACCTTGACTGACATTTCGTAACCGTCGTCATGCGCGACTTCTCCACTCGTTATTTAATAACAGGTATCAATCGCCCTTGTAATACCGTCAAAATTCTTATATTTTCTATTATGGCTCTGAAATTTTTATGCCTGCACATACGATTACAGGCTTGTCGCGCGCGTGTGACCTACTACACAAGCGAGCGAGTGAGCGAGTGAGAATATAAGAAAGATATTTTTGCAACGCGAATATCTCGACAAGTCGCGCAGTCGAGTCTGACATTGAGCTACAAGCTGGAGCAATTTTTTCACAGGTTTAAATAAATATCATTTTCAAAGTTCTTATAAGAGGAAAAGTTGTACAATATAAAAAATATATTGTACGCCAATTATGAAATATCTTCACTCGTTATTCAAATAAACATATGGCAGTTTCGTGTGTCTATCAATGAATTAAAAGTTTACCATTGTAGATTTCATATCAATTTTGTATAAAATGTCAAACGTACGAACGTACTGTATCTTACCGATGTAATAATCATATAACAAGATACAACATTTATCCTCCAATAGTAGCGATATAAAAATATTTGGTTATAAAGCAAACTGAAAATAACAAAATTGTTGAATATACATGTGGCTTCGTACATTCGCATAAAATAATACATTTTTATTCGAAAGAACTAATAAATGAATAACAAATATTACGATGTTGATGAACTTTCGTTGTTTGTTACAAAGAATCATATAAATACCATGTATATATAAGTAAGTGAAATTCCGTTTTTTCATTAAAGTGTTAAACATTTCTATGTATCTTGAAAGAATTTTAATAAGCGAAGCACAATTGTCACTTGCCAAAAAGTCGGAAGAATCTTTCCACGTGTACCTAGTTGGACACGTACAGTTTCGTACACAGTAACATCATTGTGATAAGTAGTAGGAAATTCTCATACTCCGTTATACGATCGATTATTTAAGTCGCTGTCAATCTCTTATTTTCTCACTTCCAGGAACTTGACTTAACACTGAATTATTTTCATTAAATGTGTTAATATATATTATAAAAAATTAAATTGAACATTTATTTATTAACGAGCATCGTCAAAAGTACTAAAAGCCAAAGTGTAACACAAAAATTGATCAGCACTGAACTTTTAATTAACGTGAATTAATTTATCATTAAGTTAATTACGCAACCACGATATGTAAAATTAGTTATCTATGAACAAGTATCGTTTATGCAATCCCAACATCTATATGTGTCAACATACCGACAGTTATTTTGACAGACGATGAAACAGTCATGCACGTTAAATTATTAGCGAAACATGTGTAGCGCATGTATATATAATATTAAATTACATCTCGTTATGTGTATCTATAGAAGCAAACACTCATTGTCAGCAAAAAAGAACTTATTGTCAACGTACCACTATACATTTTTTTAATTCATAAACGCAAATGGTCAAAATCATTTGTTGATTTTTTGTTCTTATAATTTTGTACATGAGGAAAAAATATTCACAATCAGTTTTACTATTATATGTTATACCATAATAATTGTAAAATATAATAGCGTTGCGAAATTGTGCATTGAAAAGGAAAAGACAAACTTACTGAACGTATTTAATAAAATACGTCACAAAGACATGTGTGTCACTTTGAATTCGTCTATTCGTCATATGGCAAAAAATTAATACACATTTTCTTCCATTTTAGAAGTTGTGTAAAAGTTGTTTATTTTATGTATATATCAGTAACGTGAGCTATTTCAAGTTTCACTAGAAAGTAGTGTGTTTGATAACTCTGGCTTTCACCCTGTCGTTTTCTTCGATAGCTTTGCATAGCGACAACTATTATAAAAATACAGTTGGTTTAGTCTAAATATATCGCTATGCAAATTACAGTTTGGCGAGTTACCAACTTCTATGTCTACGTCGCGTATTTGTTTTCCCGCTGATGATGCAATTTATGTCCGCGCACGTTGCATAAAAAGGCTCTGAAATCCAGCCTTTCACTTTCATAAATTTGTCATAATGCAAAATTCATAAATAGAAGGACATCGCACACCGTTATTCAATGTTTAATACAAGATTTCTAACAAATAATTATTTCAACGAAAGAAGCATAAATCCAACCAAAGCCCTAAATTACTTTTTAATCGTATATCTTTGGTCCCAGGTCGCTTTCCGTGAATGATATCGATTTAATTAAATTAATCTTACCCGTCAATCTATATTGCATTGTCTGTGAATGTTGCGAATTCGGAAACGCCGCGTGTACGAATGTGCAGAAGACTGTACTCAAGTTCACGTAAATTTCGCAATGTTGAACCTTCTAGCGGATACAAGTCAGCTGGAAAACAGCGCAAGCGTAGTAATCGCAACGTGCAATTCCATCTTAGAACTTATTGACCGTCGAACGTATTCGATTCAAACCGCGAGAACCTGCTAGCAATACGATGATAAATTGCTTCTCCAAAAGTTGTAAAAAAGTTTTAACAAAAGTTCTAATTAATTATCCCACCGAATCGAGCTGTACTATATGTATATGCGATCACTAATACATAATTAAAAATAAGGCTAAGATCGTATATGACATATGTGCAGAAAATTTCTTTCCCTTTATTTCTATTGTATTATGTTAGAGTATTTTCTTTTACGTCTTATGTTGAATGATTGAGAAGATACCATTACGATAGAATATAAGTCAAATTTGCTGAAAGCTGCAGACGTCTGTTCTGTAAGATCTCACTCGCACGTATCTCAAAGGACTTGCACGTTCCCAGTAAAAGTGTGGAATGTGCTATCTTGCAGTAATCTGAATAAGTATCGTGCAAAGTCTTTTTTTATTTACAGTTTAGCAACCATAATCATCGTTCAATTCGACATAGCAAATAACTTTATCACATTGCACCACAATATGCAAAAACGCTTCTGATATCTTTAGAGATACGGATTACGTCAAAATGTTATCGAACAACGATATTTTACATCACAAACAACTCACTGCTTACAACTTTTCTCAACAGAATTATTTTTTTAACGCAAAAAACTTTAAGAAATTAAAATTAAGCTCGTAGTTTTACTATTAAACGCGATCCAAATCTGCAATTATTTTGAATAGTTTATCACTGCTATATAATAAAAATAACAATGGTTATTTTCCTCGGGACTTTTTTTATAATAATTTAATTTGACTATTCTTCTTGAAAGATAACTATTACTTTTTTTTTCGAATTTAGTTCTCTACTTGAATTCATCATTTATATATTTTTTCAATATAAGGAGAAAATTACTTATTTTTCATGGAGATATCATACAACATATATTCAATTGTATATATATTTACGAAGATTATAGTTTTTTAAACCCGCGGTTATTCAGCAAAAAAAAGGAGATTCTTATTTAATTTGATTTCATCTGAAAACAGGTGAATTACATCATCTTGTATATTTATTCCGATTGGAGAAAGTTGAAGACATATGTTGCATCCTCTCTACACTTACAACAAATTATTCTCAACCCATGTAGAAACTTTACAACTTGAGTCTGATATTTGTCCTAATATTCAGATTACATTATCAGAGTAATAAAAATATGTATAACAATGAGAGTAATAAAATATACGTGTAATAAAGTAATTTGAAAGGCTTTCCGTATTATAATCAGAAAAAAAAGACGCACCCAAAAGTAGTCTTTATAACGTAAAAATATAATTAAACAAACAAGAATTAAAATTCGCGTACTGTTTGCTCACCATTTTCTTACAACTCTTGCGATGGCAGCCCTCTGTGCTTCCTATAACAGTCTCGTATTTCTTCGTGATCGTAAATTTTCATTTTCGTCTCTCCGCCACATGATATTTCACTTTAAGAAGTTTTCCAAGACTACCAGACAACATAGTAATGTTCAGTGTCGCACCCTTACACAGAGTAATAAATATAAATAATGCTCTATAATTTTAGCAGAGTCGAAATTACTTTGCTATTGTACTTGCAAAGAAATTAATTTACACACTTAAAATAGCATATAATGTCAGTGCTTATTACTGTTTGTTGTTATTCTTTACTGATTTTCTTTTTCGACTTCTATAAACGTCTACCACGCGCTTGTGTTACAATTCTTTAATTGTCGTAAACGAATATACAGAGGTATTTTATTTTCCGCTAATCTAGCTCCTTTTCGCCAAGGTGAGTTATATCTCCACTATTAAACTGTTAAACTGTTAAAGTTGCCCAGAATGAAAGACAGTTGATAGAGACTTACGGACAATATAAACCGATAGTGAACGAAGCGATTATAATGCCGCGGAAGATCCGCCGCGCTGATGTCAGGATCCAGAGCGCGTCGCGATGTTGGTGTCTCAGGTCAGAGGAGAATTCAGGGTGATCAGGGGTTCACCGGGATGCGCTCGCGCTCGCGCCAAGGACGTCTGCGCGACGCGTGCTGCATTGCGGCTAGCTTACCCTCTCCTACCCTGGCGCGACGGTTCGAACGCCTAGTCGCGATGGTGCGGAACGCGTCTTCCGCCACCCTCAAACATTCCCGCTTACCCCCTCGCAATCCTACCTCTCTATCTACCTTCTTGCGATCACGGTACTGGTACTGCACTGCAGCCAGGTACACCCACCCCATATCCCGTGTCTGCGCCAGCGTGGCGGCGGGGGTGCACACCGTGCACCGAGACGAGGGTGCGAACGGACGAAGCGACAGTCGGCGTCAATTCGTTCGCTGGAAAACGCGACGCAACCAAGCGGGCGAGATGTAGTCGAGAGGCATATCGAGTCGCGCGGGGCCCATCGTCCCCCGCGTAGTAGGCCCCGGTTCATCTTCTCTTTCTCTCATTCCCCCACTTTCTTTCCGATTTCTCTTTCTCTCGTCGTATCGGTGTCCGCTCAATCATCATTAAGGGATATATTGTTAACATCTTCTGCTGTCGCAGTCTCGTCTTTCGTCTCTCGTCGCGTCGGTGGGGGTGCGAAGCATTAGCGAACGACAAGCACGTTCGTCAATTGTGACATTATTACGGCAGTAGCACCACAGTCGCACCGCGACGACCATTCTTTATGATTGCATTGTCGGTGTGAGTATGCATCGCGTTCATCGTTATCACTGTCGTTCTCTCACATACGTATTCGCACATGCATCCAACGATTAAAAACATGGAGATGCTGCGCGTTCTTGTTTACGCTCGGTAATGCCACCGCAAAGTCATCGCTTCGGTTATCTCGAGGCATTTCTTGTTGGATAAGATTCGGTAAAATATTGTGAGATCCACGATTTTGATCGATAGAGATAGCGCAGTTTCTGCTAAATTAATAGGCATCATCTGTTGGTTCCACCATGAATTTATCGCCCTTGGAGTGAAATCTGTTTAGTGGAAAATTGATTGTGTAATCGTTGGGAAAAGAGATTTGCGATTGAATTTGAACGTTGAAAACTTTCGATAAAAATTATACGTTACGGATAATCTCCGAATAATCTCGAATTTCTTCGAAAAAATGGAGTAGACAATTTCAAATTATCTACAAATTTAGATTAATTTTATTTATTTGTTGAGGGCTATAATTGTTAATGATTCAAGTTGATTTCGATTATTTTTATTCCCGATTTGCCAGGATACGGTTTGCTCAAGTGGATCACTAGGATTTTTGCTAACAATAAAATTAATTCAGCGCGATTGTACAATTGGCTAATGGAGTAATCTTGGCACATTACAGAAAATGGTCGCGGAAAAGTACAGCAAGCTCGAACCCGAGCTGAAAGAGGAATTACGCACAATCGCCCAACAGATTGTGGCACCCGGCAAGGGTATCCTGGCCGCTGATGAGTCAACCACAACGATCGGGAAACGTCTTCAGGACATCAACGTCGAAAATACGGAGGACAACCGCAAGGCTTACAGGCAACTACTTTTCACCACAGCAAAGGTACGTCGATAAGTTACACCCAATTGATGATATTGAATGTCTTGCATATAAATTTTCTTGAAACTCGAGTATTTGTCCAATATTTTTCAAAAAATGTATCGACCGCATAATTTCGACGTGGAAAATATTGTATACCGTTTAATAGACATGTATGCTTGACGTTGGTTCTCCTCAGGATGTCATTGGACAGCACATTTCTGGAGTAATCCTCTTTCACGAGACTCTGTATCAAAAGGCCGACGATGGCACGCCATTCGTCGAATTGCTGAAGCAACGCAACGTCATCCCTGGCATTAAAGTCGACAAGGGCGTCGTTCCGCTCTTCGGCACGCAAGACGAATGCACGACCCAGGGTCTCGACGACCTCCAGGCGCGTTGTATCCAGTACAAAAAGGACGGGTGTCATTTTGCCAAGTGGCGATGCGTGTTGAAGATCACAAAGGACACTCCGAGCAAACTGGCTATCCTGGAGAATGCCAACGTGCTGGCCCGTTACGCCTCCATCTGTCAGAGCGCCAGAATTGTGCCGATCGTAGAGCCTGAAATTCTTCCCGACGGTGACCATGACATCACCCGTTGTGAACAAGTAACAGAAGAGGTTCTCGCGGCCGTTTATAAGGTATCGCGAACATTTCATTCGGAGAGAAAGAAGCTTGCGAATTTCGCCTCACCTCAACTCGTCACATAATGAATATACGTACACTTGCTATCAGGCACTTGCAGATCACCACGTATATCTCGAAGGAACGTTGCTGAAACCCAACATGGTGACTCCAGGCCAGAGCTGTCCGACGAGAGCGTCTCCTCAGGAAATCGGTGCTGCTACGGTGACAGCGTTGATGCGTACCGTGCCACCAGCGGTACCTGGCATCACGTTCCTCAGCGGTGGCCAGTCCGAGGAAGAGGCGTCGGTCAATCTCGATGCCATTAATAAATATCCGGCGAAAAAACCCTGGGCATTAACTTTCAGTTATGGACGCGCTCTTCAGGCTTCCGTACTTCGCGCTTGGCAAGGCAAGACCGACAAGGTCGCTGCCGGCCAAGAGGAGTTGATCAAGAGAGCCAAAGTAAGTAATTAATAGATATTTCATTCATTCTTATTGCATGTGTAAACTTGAATTTGCTCCACATCCAAGTAGCTATAGTTTTATCCACTTTTTACTCACTCTTTGCACTTATATACACATAATGACTATTATCAATTATCTGCCTTTCATCTCTGTTTTATTTCCTAAGTGATTCTCTGTTCTAACGTTTGTGCTCTGAATTACCTTTACATGTTTGCCTTATTTTTTTTCTATATTCAGAAGTAGTTTTTTTGTTTAAGAAAAATAGTGTCTCTTAATTGTATGTAATAATCGCACGGAGCACTCGAAGCTTTGCTGCATATTTCTTTTGCATGTCTATGTAATGTACGCTTGTTTAGGCAAACGCCGCAGCCTGCCAAGGCAAATACGTCGCCGGCAGCATTTCTAGCAAAGCCGCTGGTACCTCTCTCTACGTCAAATCTCACGCCTATTAAACAAACTTTTATATTTCCCGCGCAGTCCGTTTCTCGTGGCAGTAAGTATATAATAATTAAATAGCGTATGTATTGACTGCGCGTGTTAGCTTTTCTCGTGGATCAATTCTTATCTTTACTCGCCGTGGTAAACAACTTTTGTCACTCTTTATGACACAATATAAAGTTATAATCAATGATATTACGATATTTCAAAACTATAATTTTTCACAATACATTACTATTATTTTTTTTATTTAACTCTTCATTTTCTTGAAAAAAAAACGTCAAAGAAATGTTTGTTAGAATTAGAACTTCAATAGAAATAAATTTTATATAAATTCATGGAATGTGCATGTGTGAGATCTTAAAAATTGATTTTTTTTGTACTTATGTCCGTAAGCATTTAAAACTGTCTGATTAAAATATCTATACAAATTTCTTATTAATTTCTTCATATAATATTGATAAATAAAATTTAATTAGAATAAATGAATTTCGCAATTTATATAAGCTTTCTAGAAAGACACGTTCAATCGGTGTCACAAGTAAGAGTACATCTTTTGTTTTTCAACAGGCCAACAGCGAGTCAGCACTTGGCAAATATGCGGGTGGAGTGGCCGGTGCTGCGGGAGACGCGGCGCTTTTCGTCGCCAATCACGCGTATTAGGTTGACCCATAAAGAAATTGGATGTATCGTTAGAAACATAAAATTAAACAGATCGTTGTCTGTTGTGAAAAGCATGACAAGGAATGGAATTCCTTCGAGGGTGATCGAGACGCACACAAAGTATTTCAAGTTTCCAAGAAGATCGATCGTTCTTGTCTTATTTCATTATCAATATTTTTAAAAGATTGTTTCTTACGGATCTATAATCGTGCGATTTCAAATTGAGTTGTAACCAATCAAAGTTTTTACGTGAATACATATCTATCGGTCGTCATATGTAACTCGATTGGCGACTTAAATTAACAATTCGAAGATTGCATGTCAAACGTGTCGATTGAAATTTTATCGAAACATCCCACAAATTTCTTACTCAACAGACAGTTTAATAGATGATTTTGTAATGAATGTACAAAATATGAAATTTTTAGAGATATTTTTAGCCGGGCCTGTCGTTTTTAATTTCTCGCCGATACTCTAACCGTTGTTCCTACTCACTCAGCGACTATAAACTTTATGAGATTCAATTCCATTGGCATTAAATGATTGAAGCATTAGAACCGAGGCATCGAGAGAACGTGAGCAGATATTTTGCGACATTCGATATTATTATTATTATATTCTGTAACAATACAATACGAAGGCAGATATATAACTGCACACATATATAAGCAATGTCGTCATAAG